ATTAGATTACCCTGGTAGTAGGCTAATCTCTATTAATCTCCAGTATTCTCCAGTATTATTACATTGTTTGATACAATATTGTTTATTTGATATTACGTAATTGTGAATTCTTCAATTGTGATTTATTTATTATTACCATATGTTACTTGTATTTATTGTGTAAAGATTTCAGTTAATATTGTGTTCAGTTTGGCCCTGTAAATAAAAGGGTATAATTTTTTTTGACAAAATGTGTACGGTTTTGTTTTCTTGACCGTTTCAAGAACTATTTAAGCACCGGAACCAGGGGGAAATGAAGCAGTGAATCAAGTTTACATGATTTACAAGATGGATTTCCAATATAATCAACAATTATATAAGAAACATTACAAATGTAATTATTTAGAAGAAAAAAAGAAAAAACTTTGCATCTTTCGAATGGCGCCGCCATTGTGCAGTTGACGTCACAGGGTTGGTTGGCTCAAGTTTAACAGGCTCTGGGCATTGAAAATTGCGACATCAAACTGTGTTTACACCAGTGTTTTGACCGCGAACGACTAATGTTAGGTACAGTCATTAGACAAAAATACGACGTCTCATTCTATATGTTGACAAACTGCACATAGAAACATTGTTCGCGATGTCTGCCGTCATTCCGTCTCGTCAACAACATGTAAGTTAGCATGTATTTGTTCAAAGGGGAAATGAAACCACCACATTTTCGCACTGGTAGTGCTAGTAGCTACAGCCTACATATACTAGGAAAAAGTGTCTCCGCTCTGACATCCTTCAGGGAAAGCATCACCGCTTCCACACGTCTAACTCCCGGCACAGCATGGTAAACGTGTGCGCCGGTGATGCAGAATTGACCACGCAATACATGCTCAAGATCAACCTCTTGACAACAGATGGACTCTGACACGGAAGGCATCGCAATAACGCTAACAGCCACACTGACACCTGGTAAGTTAGCGTTGCAAATCCGCTCTTCGCCCCAAACCACCACCGGCTGTTCTACACAGCAACGTAACTTACATGGTGTTGACGAGACGGGAATATGACGGCAGACATCGCAGACAATGTTTCAATGTGCAGTTTGTCAACATATAACATTAGACGTCGTCTTTTTGTCTAATAACTGTACCTAACGTTAGTCGTTCGCGGTCAAAACACTGGTGTAAACACAGTTTGATGTCGCGATTTTCAATGCCCAGAGCCTGTTAAACTTGAGCCAACCAACCCCGTGACGTCAACTGCATGGCAGCGCCCTGGCGGCGAAAGATACAAAGTTTTCTTTTTTTCTTCTAAATGTTTACATTTGTAATGTTTCTTATATAATTGTTGATTATATTGGAAAGCCATCTTGTAAATCATGTAAACTTGATTCACTGCTTCATTTCCCCTTTAAAAAATACAGGGTGTACTGGTATAAAACCCAACCCTACTCCTGAGGCGCCGGTCCACCGGACGGTTAAATTAAACGTACAGTATGTAATTTTTGGCCACCAGGGGTCACTCATTTAAAATAATAACAAAAGACGTACTTTGATGACGTCTGGAAAGAGCGTGGGCTCACGGGAGTTGTTGTCGCCGTCAATGACAACCAGCTTAGCTCATGACATGACATCATCGTTTCACAAAATATACGGATATACGGCATCTCTCTGTAGATTTAGCTTGTCAAGAAGCTTTAAATGCAACCCCAATGTTTACCTGTGTCATGCTTTTTCTCCTGTCCCAAACCCTTCTCGGGTCATTATTTTTCACCCGTACGTTTGAGCTTTACTGAGCTGGCTGTAGTAGCAGAACATGCAGGCAAATGCTACTACATTGGTCCATTGGTCCAGAATCGTGGTCCATAACACAGACGAATATAAATATTTATATTACGCCCCTTCAATGAATGACCTATTTAGAAAATTTTTCATATATAGGGCGCACCGGATTATAAGGCACATAAGATACTGCAGTCAAACGTTTGACTCGGTTTTTTCGTTATGCATCCACTATGTGCTAAGGCTAAAGGGAATGTAGTGAGGTGAGGCGTTTATTTAGTAAGCATGAGCGCGCTGGAGCAGGCACGTAACTTACATTCGCAGCCTGACTCATATGAATATTCAATGTGCGCAGCTCGCTGACAGCAACAGGTGGCTGTTTTGAATGAGACGACCCGGTTACTGTGAACGGGGAGTGCTTTATGAACATTCTGTGATGCGCGAGCAGCACCGGGGTGTCTGTTAAGAGTGAGCGGGCACGTGATTTACACACATAAAAATACATACTACTTTTTTTTCTTCGTCATTTTCTTTGCTTTATTGGCGGCAGTCCAGTGTTCCCCTTTGTGTTTGGCGGTTTCGCCGGGTTCTGCAGGAAGTTAGAGAAAATAGAGGAGTCAAAGGTTATATGGCGCCATAGACGGGCGACGAAACGGAAATAAAGAAACGTCCCGTGTCTTCAAATTAAACTATAAATGGGAACACTTTATTTTACGACCCGCAAACAACTGTGTAAGTACACTGAAATTACGGTGTACGTTTCTGTAATTACAGTGTACTTCCGTGTAGGTATAAGGGAACAATATGTTAAGTTTGGGGTAATAAAGGGGTAACAAACAGATATACAACCTGCAAATAACTTTGTAAGTACACTGAAATTACGGTGTACGTTTCTGTAATTTTAGTGTACTTCCGTGTAGATATTAGGGAACAATATGTTAAGTTTGGGGTAATAAAGGGGTAACAGGCAGATATACAAGCAAATTATTTAATTAGTTAAAAAATAACAGGTACCTATTCTGTTGATATATCCCAGATGAAGATCCAAATGCAGCTTTAATTTAAGAATAGTCATACAGGCAGGGTCAAGAATCAGCAGACAGGACAATGGAGAATACACAGTGGGAATCCAAGAAACAGGCAGAGAGCAGGGCAGGCAGCAATAATCAGAATCCAAGAACAATCCAAAAATCCAAAACCAGAAAACAAACACGGCAACCGCTCAGAAATGCAGACACACAGTACAACAAGACTTCACAAACAGTGAATGTGAACACAAGGTATATATAGACAGACTAACAGGATGAGACACAGGTGAATGCAATCAGTGAATGAGGTACAGGTGAATGTGATCAGTGATGATGAGTCCAGGCAGTGAGTTCTGGGAAATGCAGTTGTGAGTGAAACATGAACATCTGGTGTGGAGTGCCCTCTGGTGACTCTCAAGGGCACTCCACCTGGTGACCGTTACAATCACATTTCTGGCAAAATATGTTCTTGTACAATGTTACAGGGTTATTTTGACATCTGTGGGTTAAAAATTGAACACACACACACACACACACACACACACACACACACACACACACACACACACACACACACACACACACACACACACACACACATATATATACTATGATATAAATTAAATTTATTGGCTTTTCTTACTTACTTAATGTTAAGTCAAAATAATTTGTTTTTGATATGATTTTTAATTTAGGCCTTACCATGTGGTAATTAGTACTTACCTTATCCCATTGAATTGCAATGACACTTAAGTGGCAGGGCAAATATACTGTGTAATTAAAACTTTTTTTTTGATAGTACCTTTCTCTGTAATTATTACAGTGCAAATAGTGTTGTTTCGTATTGCTACATAGTAAGTAGCGCTTGTTACCCCCTTGTTCTGTGTAGTTACAGGGTAAGTGTAACTCCTGCGGGCTGTAAATTAAAGTGGTGCTTGTTACCCCTTTATTACCCAAAACTTAACATATTGTTCCCTTATACCTACACGGAAGTACACTATAATTACAGAAACCTAGGCCTACACCAATTTCAGTGTACTTACACAGTTGTTTGTGGGTCGTAAAATAAAGTGTTACCCTAGAAATTTCTCCATATCTGAAAGTTGGTGGAAACTGTGGGGATAATGTAAGTACACATCTAATAGAAATATATAACATAGATACAGTTATTTTTGCTATTTTTAAAGCAGAAAAAAATACATATTGTGGCTTTAATAATTAATTTAACTTTTTAAAAACACCCTTGAAAGTACAACATATTTGGAAATGATGTAGAATATTATATTAACTGATCAAGCAATATTTACCTTGATGTTTAATATATTCAATATTTGTTCTTGATGAAACATGACGTTTTGATGTCACTGAAACTTCCTAAACAATCATTCACAAAAACTTTTTAAAGGGACATTACAGTGTTGTGGTGGAAATTACACCAATACTGTGCGACAACTTTATTTTGTATAAAAAGTAATATCGATAGTGGTCTCACTTTGAATACCATAATGTATTTTAGTTATTTTAATAGTGCTTAATTTAGGTATATTCATAGTTACCAGATAAGTCATATTTTTAAACTGTATTTTCAATGTTGAAGTTAAAAAGATTGGGTGTGCGACAAGGAGAAAACAGTGATTTTGACACCTAAAGAGGTTGAAAAGTATGAAAAATCATAATAGAAATGTAGCAAAACGTTTTTAAGATGGTTTTAATATTAGTTTGACACAGAAAGAGAAATTTGTGAAAAATTATATGTATTTTTCAAAATATGACCAAAAAATAAAGGTTATTAGTCTACCTATTTTGCAAGAATTGTTTAAAAAAAAATTTCTCAACTAAATTATGTCATGTCATGTTTTTTTTTTTTTTTTTTTTTTTGTGGGGGGGGGGGGGGGCATCTTTATCGGAACTGTTAAGTAACCGGGTATGTTTTTTTTTATTATTATTTGAACAATTATTCATGTACAAACAGTAAGGCAATAATAACAATTCTTTACATTAGACAAACAAATACATACAAAACAGATGAATGATATAAAATAAACGTTAAATAAATAAATAATTAAAAAAAAAAATTAGGGGCTAAGGTCTTTTTTTTAAATCATACTCTTCTATGACAGATAAAAGACTTTTGCATTTTTCTTTTTTAGTAATTTTGTCATGTAGCCTCAACCTCCAGACCAGCGGGCGGCGCTGTTGTGTAAGCTGAGCTCATTCCCTGGTTGCTGTACGCAGCAGCGCTCCCTGCTAACGAGTTTCCCAGCAGGTCAGCGCCTTTCCGAGAGCTGACCACTCTGATGCATCTTTGAATTTCAGAGTATTGAATTTCAGTCTATTAAGAAATGAACGGGATGCCTGGAACAAACGTGATTCAAATCACTAATCTGTCGTCGGCGGTGAGCAGTGATCAGATGAGAACTCTGTTCGGCTTCCTGGGGGACATCGAGGAGCTGCGACTCTATCCGCCTGAGTGAGTCAAAACAACAACACCACACACACACACACACACACCTGCCTGACAGAGTCAAAACAACACATAATATAATAGGTAGGCGTAATTTACCCAGCATACATTTCTGACATAACGTTACAAATCCCGAGGCTTATCATAAACATATCAGACCACTTCATAGTGATGATAAAAACACACGCACACATTAAACACATGATACTGCATAGTATACATATCACATCAAATTCGTATACACTACATCATACATTTTAAAATCACCTGCACAACCAATATCATCACTATAAACACTTTATACATAGACAGCTAATAACACACACACTGTACATGCACATCAGACCATGCATCCACACACTATCAAAAGATAAGTATGACATCATGCAAACGTCTCACATACATTACCAACAGCTCACATGGCAATAACTATGACTGTGTGTTATGTGCACTACCATAAACCATTTTTAGTACAAATATATTGAAACCTTGGTTTATATCCATATCCCTTAATAAAACATTCAAAAAATATCAGTCACACATGTGTTTTATAGTTTAGATGAGGGAAATAATATACATGCGTAACAGACGTGAAAAAAAAAATCTCCATGTTTTATAAAACATATGATGATGCCTATAGGTGGCAACATATTTTTTAGGAATTCTGTGAACTACACTGCGCAAACCAAATTAATGGAGAAGTTTTGGCCCTCCACAGAACGTAAAATATTTATTTTATTTTATTCATATATATTATGTTCGAACATGACCATCATTTACACCGTCATCACCCAGGTGAATTTGAACCATTACACCCCTAGTGGTAATTATAGCAATGCTTTTGGTGTACTGCATGTTTGGTATCCACTATTTTTTTTTTTAATAAGATAATGACAAAAGACTCGTAATGTTTGGCAATTTTAACTAAATCACTATCAACAGATAAGTCATCTTTATGCTCGGAAATCTGCTTCACAGAGCTCATTCTTGCAGTGTTGCCATGTTTACGTATTCTGAGCGTCTTTCGCCTGTTGTTTTGGCTTGGCTCATAAAGCTATCATGTTCATGGAATTTGAGTGAGTTCAAATCTTCTTGTTCTTGATTTTGTAAATGGACAGGACTTAAAAACACATGCAAATGATAAACTTTTACTCTATGATGATGTTTAACCTTTGCAATTAATCCGCGAATCACATGCATTCCAAACCAGAACCAATCAACTACGATCCCTATACTTGACATTGCACATACTGCGATGTGACTATCACATGCACCAATCGCGATATCGATGCTAAAACAATATATCATGCTGCCCTAGATCGAATCATTGCATTGTTGCGCCACCTGGTAGCAAGAAGTGACCGGTAAAACTAATTATTTGTCATTGAATTTCAAAAGATTTATTCAAAAACGCTGATTCATCCAGTAATGAAACAAGTGAAGTATAAATAGTGAGTCATTGAGTCGTTCATTCAAACCGAACAATTCATTCAGATTAATTAAACTTTTAAAATAAATTGCAGCTATTAACATTTTGCCAGAACCTCTTGTAAATTCCATATTCCACGTCAGAGTGCATTTGTAACCTGTTTTTAATTGCCTAAGCCATGACTGAATAAAGGCTTTTTATATATTTCCTTAGGTTAAATTTAGTAACTTTTAGTGCCTTGGCTTGATATGTCTGTATAAATTGTAATTCTGTTCAAAGGAGTAGTTCACTTTAAAAAAAAAAAAATGCTGATAATTTACTTACCCCCATGTCATCCAAGATATCTGTCATTCTTTCTTCAGTCGAAAAGAAATTTAGGTTTTTGATGAAAACATTCCAGGGTTTTTCTCCATATAATGGACTTCAATGGGAACCAAATGGTTCAAGGTCCAAAAGACAGTTTCAGTGCAAACTCATTTATCGTTTTTTTTTGATAAACGAGTTTGAACAGGAGAGTCACAAATGCACATCACAGAACAGAGCAAGGTGACCATTTGAGCTTATAAAACTTAAAATTTGTTCTAAAACTTAAACCCTTATTCATCGTCTGGAATCGTTTAAAGCCCTTTGAACAGTTTGCACTGAAACTGTCTTTTGGACCTTGAACCGTTTGGATCCCATTGAAGTCCATTATATTGAGAAAAATCCTGGAATGTTTTCATCAAAAACCTTAATTTCTTTTCGACTGAAGAAAGAATAGCCCCTTTCACACAGCGAGTTGATCCCGGGAAATTGCCGGCAAATTGCCAGAACGCCTTCTGTGTGAACGCAAACACAACCTGGGACTGATTCTGGGATTGATCCCGGGTTGGGGACCTAGTAACATTGCCGGAATCTCCCGGAACGCGCGCTGTGTGAACAAAAGCCAGGACCAATGCCGTAAAGGGTGTGTCATAGCCATGTTTCCATCCACTTGTCAATCGAATTATCTGAAATTCGGTTAAAAAACTCATGCGGATAAAGCTGGTGAAAGTGTGTTTCCATCCAACGGCTTTAAAGCGAATAAAAACCTGTACGTAATGACGTCACATGCTGTTTTGCGATCAAATTGGTATATCGAATTGATTTGAGACATTTTAAGGTGTTTCCATTTATTTTCGCACTAAATCGAACAACATTCAAGCAAAGTTTTGTTAGACAAAACGGATTGCGCCATCTACCAAAAAATGATCAATATTTCACAAGTTGAAGGCTAATAATGCTTATGTGCCAGCTGATTGCGACATATGAATGGGATAATGTATGCAAGGCGAGGCGGTTGTTGTATTCGCCTCACAACCGCCTCGCTATATATTATCCTGCTTATTACATATTAACCGAATAAATCAATCATTTGACACAAAATATTGACTTAAAAACGAGTTTATTGATTTAAAAACGAGTATTGCTTCTGCTAAAGAAAATAGTCTGTTCCGTCTCTGAACTGCGTCCATGGCAACGGTGTGTTATACTAGCAGCGCCGCAGTCTGTTAACTAGAAATAACAGACCACATTCTACATTACAATTCAACCAAGCCACGTAAAAACAAGCAAAACTAACCCAAGAAAACAACGACGCTATAAACATTGCTATGATGATGCCGATGCACGTATGCCCGACGACAGCGGAGGTGACTGTGGTTTGGGGACGAGCGCTCAATCATTTCTGGGAGATCGTGGTTCACGGAAACCCTTTGGTTGAAGCATCTTTTTGCTTTGTCCACTTACATCTGTCTTTGTTGACATCCGCCATGTGTGCGCAAACAGACTGGCCGGAAATGAACTCGTCTTCTGACGTGTTGCAACCATAAAAGGGCATAAAACTTAATCGCAATTCATTATTTATTCGGCAAATAACGTTTCCATCAGCTTTTATCGCATTAGCCATATCGATCAAGAGAAAATTCGATGAGACCGAACGTATTTCATTTGAGTCGATTTTCATGAAATTTCCTCGAATTTTACTGTTTCCATAAGGCTTTTTTCATTCGATATCACTTAATTCGGATAAAAACGTGTCGGTGGAAACATGGCTTTAGTGATGACGCTCGTGCCATCGCGCGACTCTGTTGCTCTTAGAAGAAAGTTTGTGTTCGTCATCAACAAAGAAAGGACGAACAAATACCTGCAAACTGGAGCGAAGCAGAAACCAGGAGCTCCTCACTATCCATACTGAAGCTAAGATCGTTCACCAGCGCGTATACGGTATGCGCGTTTACATGTTTTCGACGCGTCCGTTATACGTCTCATCCTGACGTCATGTGTCTTCCCCGGATTTTTACGGGTTGTGTGTGAACGCACTCACAGATCCCGGCAAATCACTGGCAGTGTGAATGAACCAAAATCAAACAATTCCGGGACAAATGCTGGGTCACATTATCCGTGTAATTTCTGGAATCTCTGTGTGAAAGGGGCTAATGACATGGATATCTTGTATGACATGGCAGTGAGTAAATTATCAGCGATTTTTTTATTATTTTTTATTTTTTTAAAGTGAACTACTCCTCTAATTCTGTGTGTGAATCATGGGAGAATCATGATCTCTGAAAAAAAATAAAAAAATAATTCTCAATTTATCCAATCTTGCAGATCTAATACACAATATATTGAAACATTACACATTTTATAACATTGTTTATAATATAATGACAGTATTTTTATTATTGTAAGTCATGGAATCGTTCAGTTAGCTGATTCATTCAAAAACACGCTCATAATTGTGTTGTTCTGAGTATCTGCACACACTGATATTCAGAAAAACAGTACTCATGTAAAAGTGCACAAATATACTAAAAACTAAAGTCAACTGAAACAGTTGTTTCAGTCAACAGTTATAGAGTGAAAAACCATAATAACCTTGTTTTTGAGAGGACTAACTTTACAAAGATTAGCTATATCTTCCTTTTCATAATTCACCAGAACAAAACAACAATCATATGCAACACATTATACAACAACACAAAAGGCAATCAAATCACTTGTTTTTCTTCTCTTTCAGCAATGCACCTCTTTCCTTTTCATCCAAAGTTTGTTACATAAAGTATCGAGACCCTTCCAGTGTTGGTGTGGCACAACATTTAACCAACACAGTTTTTATTGACAGAGCTTTGATTGTTGTGCCCTGCGCTGAAGGTTAGTATGTTTGCATGCGTGTTACATTTGTGTGCCTGATTTTAGAATGACACTGGGTATCTGACTGCAAATCAAACTTTTGAGAAGAACAAACCATAATTGGCTTCCTGACATTATTTTGTGTGTTTTTGTGTCTCAGATGTGTATGATAACCATGAGTTCTGTGTGCTGAAGTATCACTGTTATCAGCTCTGTTTTATTTTGTGAGTTGAGTGGATGTGGGTGGAGTGACACCAGCTCTCTTGTTTATCAGTTGAGCTGAAGGATGTGGAAATCATAGAGGTGATTAAGATCATACTTTATGTAACAGCGTCAGGACTTTGTGCAGACGCTTTCAGTGTTTTGCTAAAACTTTTTTTTTCATTGCTAATGAAATGCATTGCTAGAAAATTATGGGCACAGAGACTAAAATTGTTAAGGATTTTTAGATGAATAGAAAGTTCAAGAGAACAGCATTATCTGTCTATCTATTTATCTATCTATCTATCTATCTATCTATCTATCTATCTATCTATCTATCTATCTATCTATCTATCTATCTATCTATCTATCTATCTATCTATATTCTCAGTGTAAAATGTTATACTGTTACTTTTGATCAATTTTATGCATTTTTGCTGAATAAAATATTTTCTTTAGAGAAAAAAAAAACCCTGAACAGACCACACACATTTGAATATAAATGCTACTATAAATCAACTTATAAATCCAATCAATTGAAATTAAAGCTGCAGTCCGTAGTTTTTCCTCTTTGTCTCTGTTTGAAATCTGCAATTGCAGTTATTCACAAAATTGACCTATGGCTAAGCCACGCCCTAAAACGTGATGAGCCAATAACAATTGTGCAGCTAACCCAAAACACTCAGGCATTCTCTGCTTCCACATCCATTGAAATGCATTGCAGGTGGTCAGTTTTCATTAGTTTTTTCGTGTCATTTTAAATTTAAAATGGTCAAACAGTGTGCATGGGGTACATGCAACTCCGACACTAGGTTCCGTGAGGCTGGGTGGCTTTCCCATGCCACATCTCAACCAAGGTAAGAGTCTGCTTTAGATTAAAGGGATAGTTCACTTTGAAATAAATTTTTGATATGTTTGAGCTTACCTCAAGGGCATATCCAAGATGTAGGTGTCTTTGTTTCCACAGTATTTTCAATTTTGACATTTTTTCAGTCAAACCGTTGTTGTCTATCAGTCATACACTGGAGGCTAAGGGGGTCCACCAAAAAGCATGCACAGAGAAGTCAAAATTAAACATGATTTAATGACTCGTAAATGTAAGTACACATTGATGGCCTAAGACACGAAATGAGCGGTTTGTGTGAGACAACGAACAGTATTTATATCGTTTTTACCTCATGTAATCACAGTGACGTCCAATATTCACACAGAGATTTCGGAAGTTTTACCTTTTACTAAACTATTTAGATATACCGAAATCGTCTTCCATTGCGGTTTTCCGTATATCTAAATATGTTTAGTGAAAAGTAAAACTTCCCGAAATCTCTGTATAAACAAAGAGTGACGTAGGCGCGCAAGCGATCACTTCCGCCGCATGCGCAGACCGAAGCGCCCGTGCCGTCAGATCATTTTGTCATGGCTATGATTACAAGAGATAAAAACGATATAAATACTGTTCGTCTTCTCACACAAACCGCTCGTTTCGTGTCTTAGGCCATCAATGTGTACTTACATTTACGAGTTATTAAATCATGTTTAATTTTGACTTCTCTGTGCATGCTTTTTGGTGGACCCCCTTAGCCTCCAGTGTATGACTGATAGACAACAACGGTTTGACTGAAAAATGTCAAAATTGAAAATACTGTGGAAACAAAGACACCTACATCTTGGATATGCCCTTGAGGTAAGGTAAAACATATCAATAATTAATTTCAAAGTGAACTATCCCTTTAAGTTATGCGGTAGACCACAACACCAACTAAACATGGATAAATTAAACGAGGATGTCTACATCTGTTCTAAGTTAAGTCAACAACATATTTGAACGTGTTAACGTTAGCCTAACATTAGAAAACATTAACGTTAGCTTCTAGCTGAATTGTACATTAGCCTAACATTAGAAAACATTAACGTTAGCTTCTAGCTGAATTGTACATCATGTCACTTAGCTTCATTAACGTATCTGTAAATAACCAAGATAACAAATGTTAACAATGTTGTGCTGAATGATTCATGTAAATACTGTAGCACCAAAGGATGGTGGCAACGATACGTGGTTTATCACGTTTACACTGTGACCTGTACATCTCTGCCTGGAGCTGAAGCTTTTCATCAACCTTCTCAACAAAAACAACAACAAAAGAAATTAATATAACCCTCCAAATGCATAGTTAAGGCCATTTAGGTGACTTAGAGATAGAGATGATATATAATCTTTCTGTCTATAAAAATCACCAATGGGCTCTATGCACGGCGGTATTTCAGGTGAAAGTCTAAGGATGCTCGATAACTTCCGCCGATCGTAGAGTCCAATGCAATGCCGAGAATTTATATTGAATTTTATACTCCATGGTTATAGTAAAGAAACGTAAGTCACAAAAACAGACAGCCCTCATCCTGTTTATGCTTCTTTTTAAAATTATATTAAATAAACGGAACTATATATAAAATGACATCTAAACATATGAAAGTTTCATTTCAAAGACGGGAGGACAGTAAATTTTGAAGACTCCATAATGCCATAATCCCATTTTGCTCGGTTTTCCTCCGCTTTAATAGGGACTTTAAGCAACAGCCTCTGGTGGAACGGCAACGGCATTCTGGCGTTCTATTGCGCATGCGCGACATTAACTGCCACTTCTTGACGTTCTACTGTAACCGTCTACTACGGGAGAACAGCTGATTTGCCGTAGTCGTTACTACGTGACCGATTAAGACAGTTAATGTTATGTTTTAGGTTATGTGGCATTGAAATCGTTTCTGTATATCATTAAGTGCTAAAATCAACCCTTCTCTTTCTTTTTAAAACCACTTTCTTTTTGTATTTTGTCTGATGATTAAATTATTCACTATGCCGTCCTCTTTACTGTTGCTTAGTGATTTTTGCGCTCTTTAACTACGGCAGTTAACTGTTTATTTCCAGCTGCCGTCGCTGTTCTATCAGCAGCTGTTGCTTAAAGTCCCTAATCTCCTCAACCGGAAACTGACGAGCACCCTTGCGTCGAATGCGGAACGTATGCGTGCATATAGCCCATTGCCTCCTGTGAAATGTCTCATACTGTGACAGGTGCCATAGCGCCTGTCCTCGAATTTTGACTGTCTGAGTGCGTGATCGGAGGGGGCGTGGCTTAGCCATAGGTCAGTTATCAGCTTTACTTGGGTTGTGCCTCGGCACTAGCCTGGATGCCAGTCCGAACCCTGCCCACAACATTTTTTGGTTGGGAAGTTCGGTCTGGACTTGGTCCATTAAGGAGTAATTATGATCAGTAAAAAAATGGTCGGGCCTATCAAATTACCAGGACGGGCTTTATACGATGATGGACAGATGATCTGCTGGTACGTAATCATCACGTCATCAAAGAGCGCTTGATTTGAACTGGTTTACAACAAAAATGACTGCAGCTGGAGAATTGAGATGTATAGATTCCGCTGTTGCGTTTGTTTTAGAAGAAATCGACAGTGCGTTCATTTTACAAGGCGGACAGAGAACTGTAATTAAGGCATTTGTCGATCCTCATGATTCCTACAGGATTCGGCAAAGGTTTATTTTTATTAGCTGGCTCCGATGGTCGCTAAGAAGATGGGACACAATGAAAACCCAGTTGTCATTGTGGTTTCTCCTTTGGTCGCACTCATGGAAGACAAAGTAAAAGAAGCAACCTGCGTCACGGCGATGCATCACATTGTTGCAACTCATGTCAAAGCCTTCGCTGCATCAAACAATTGTGTCGCTTTGTTATACTACTCGCACGCGGCACACCATACCCATACTGTGAGTCACTGTACCCCTTATAAGCAGTGTATTTTTTTAAATAAATTATTAGATGCTACTCATCATTTTGTATTTAAATCATCATTAAATACATCATTAAACGCGCTGAACACGCTTCTTCAGCCTGGTCTCTTTCGTTGTCTCTCCATTTATTAAAATCAGTCACGCTCCAACCGTGTTATAAAGTTGAGACAGGTCCAACAAATGCGAGCAGATTTGTTGGCTTTATTGTCGAGATCTAATCCTAAATGGAGAACTTGTTTGTATATACATTTACATTTTCTATTTCGTTTCGTGTTTCGTTTAAAAAATGTTTTTCCAGTTTGATAGTACTCCGCGAATCCTTAAATTCTTTTTGCAACACTGGCAACGGTCGTCGCCAAACTATTTTTTCTTTTAAATACTTTTTCCAGAGCGCGTGCAGTTCAGTTCTGTTGTCATACGTCCCATACTGCGTTTCACTGATTGGTTGTAGGTCTATCCAATTGAGTGCAGAGTTTTTTTTTTTTCTTCCTGGTTCGATTAAGACACGCCTCATAATCAAAGCCCTATGGAACAGTTATCAGACTCACTATGACGAAGTCAGGCTAGCTCGGCACAGCACAGCGTGGAGGAATTAATGTTTTGATTAGAATGTGCGGGAGCCATTCGCCGCGCCGTTGTGGAGAGTCATTCGGAATCACTGATTCTACATTTTGGAAGTATGACCAACATGAGAATTTTCTCCGGAAAATGTAATCTGAACAAGTAACATCCACTTTTGTTCTCACCAACTAAGGGAAAAAAAAGCATTGCAGTAAATCGAGCTGATTAATGATCGCTTATCATATCACGTCAAACTGTGCAAATTTTACTTAGTTCTCAAAGTTCTTTTTTTCTCTATCCACCGAAGTCCGAGCAAAGTCTTTTGCATTTTACAAAACGGGTGAATGTCCAGTTGTAACTGGCGATTGTCATTTGAACCTTTCTAGATCCGCCATCAAATTGATACATTTAGGCCCCGTCCACACTACTGCGTTTTCGTTTAAAAACGGAGACCTTTTGCTACGTTTGCACCTCCCGTCCACACTAAAACGGGAAAAACGAAGACCTAAAACGGAGAAGTTTAGAAACGCTGCAGCTGCGTTTTGCGTTTTGAAACTCCGGAGGGTGTTTTAGTGTGGACGAGACAAAACGGAGGAGTTTACAAACGATGACGCAGAGGCTCACGCTCGGCTCTATGATTGGGTGTCATCAGTCATGACGTATCCTTCCCTGATTCGCCAACCACTGTTTACACCGGCGCGCGCATGCCCAGTGTTGGTGAATGGTCACGTGATCTCACGTGATCTGCGTTTTTAGTCGTTTTAATGTGGACGGAGATCAATTCTAATACGCAGACAAAACGCTGGTGTGGACGGAGATCGTATTCGTTTTAATTCTCCGTTTTTAAACGAAAACGCAGTAGTGTGGACGGGGCCTTAATTATATCAAGTGCTATGAGAAAAGTCTATATATCTCCACCTCCAACATCTTCACACGCAATATAGCCTACTAGCCGAGACTCTTCCTTTATGTGTACAGATGTGACATAATGACGCAAAGACATGATCGAATCTCCCGCGAAAATCCACCAGTACCACTGGAATTAAAAATATTATTACAAGCTTACCGTTTTGAATCGAGCTATTTTTTTCAAGCTATTCTTTCAAGCTATTCAAGCTCAAATTTATTTTGGATCATTTTTAACCCAAACAAGTTACGGACTGCAGCTTTAAGACACACCATGATTGAAAGAACAAACTGTTTAAAGTATATATATTTATTTGGCTGATAAAATATTTATTTGGCACTCTTCAGTTTTGTGTGTGTGTGTGTGACCAACAATTCATTGCATTCTAGCAAAACTTTTTGACAATGATTTTTTGATTGTCATTGTTATATATATATATATATATATATATAAACAAATGATCAACTTAGAGAAGATTTCAGGTTCTGTTAAGAGTGAATTGTTACACCCCATCCTTTTAGTGGCCCTTGGTTTAGCAGTATGCGTTCAGAAATATAATGGTAGGTAACTGTGTAATTCTGTGATTCTAATATTATTAATTGTCCAGACTTTCTTGCCTGGGGAATATAGCTTTACATTTTTAATTTTGAGTTGCTTGCTATGTGTGAATTGTGAGAGGTTTTGTTTGCTAAAACCGATGCTTTAGCTCAATGTTTCTTAACTCCAGTTCTAGTGACCCACCTACCAGAATGTTTTAGATGTCTCAATTAAAACCTGATTCAAATGATCAGATTCAAAGACAGATTCAAAGACATTAAAGCATTCTGGGTTGTGGGTTCCCAGTGATTTACCTCACAGGAACTATGGCACGTTTAGTTATTAGTGTTCCTTGAATTTTTTATCACTATAATGGCACAAATCCTTTATTCCGTTGAGTGAGATTATATATTGGATGTCTAACATACTAATTGGCATAAAATTTAGCTAGTGTCCAGCACATCAAATGTCTTAAAGGAGAACTCCGGCGAACAATGAACCTTTGGTCTAATAAAACATCGGTACATAGTCAACCGTTCTCTGAGTTTTGTTTTCATGATAATCGAATGTAAAGAGTTTTATCTCTAAAAACTGTTTAGCGTATAATGCTAGTAATGGGGGCATTGACTAAGTAAAAAGAAATCGCTAGTTTATACCACTAACAAGGCTCAAAATAGCCCCACACTAACGCAGTAACATAATGAGGCTCCATACATGCAAAACGACGCATTGAGAACTTTGTAAGTGTACAGACCGTTTAATAAGAAGATACTTTATGAAGACAGTTCACTTCGCGTATACAGACAGGAGCCATCTTAAAAAATAGTCTCGATAAGTCAAACCACGAACGTCGTGCTGAGTGATCTGAACTCTATGAAGTTCAACGAACTATTGAACTGTATGAACGGCGTTCGGGGATCGACTTATCGAGACTATTTCCTAAGATGGCTCCTGTCTGTATACGCGAAGTGAACTGTCTTCATAAAGTATCTTCTTATTAAACGGTCTGTACACTTACAAAGTTCTCAATGCTTCGTTTTGCATGTATGGAGCCTCATTATGTTACTGCGTTAGTGTGGGGCTATTTTGAGCCTTGTTAGTGGTATAAACTAGCGATTTCTTTTTACTTAGTCAATGCCCCCATTACTAGCATTATACGCTAAACAGTTTTTAGAGATAAAACTCTTTACATTTGATTATCATGAAAACAAATCTCAGGGAACGGTTGACTATGTACCGATGTTTTATTAGACCAAAGGTTCATTGTTCGCCGGAGTTCTCCTTTAACACAGGTTTTTAGTCAAATTGATGCCCTTATTAGTTAAGCTCTTTTTACTAATGTTAATGTAATAAAAAACAATTAAACACATTTAATTTCTGGGAAGAATGTTATATATTTTTTTGTATTTTCATTTTTTTTTCTAATACTATATATTTGAAGAGTTCAGATGCAAAAGCCTCTAAATGCCATTTGAAATTTTCTTCTTTAATGATGATTTTTATCAAACTTGTATATTTAAGTTCAGTAATTTCACTTAAATAATTACTGAACTTAAATATACAAGTTTGATAAAAATCATCATTAAAGAAGAAAATTTCAAATGGCATTTAGAGGCTTTTGCATCTGAACTCATTTATTTTTATTTATATTATAGCTAAAAATTAAAACTAGCTGGCCACAACTGAGTGATTTTGTTATTTAATATAACATTGTAGCCGTACTTATATTTTTGATTGTGTACATTTTATTTGCTTAATTTGTTTGGCTAATGTCCATTGGCAAACATAAAATAACCCTAATCAAAGATTTAAACCGTATTCAGACATGTGCCACAATGGAGTATAAAGATAGAAAATAAACATTTTGTTTCCCCTCCTGAAGTAGACCGTTTTCTGAAGGTTAAGTGCCTAGTTTCACTGACCAAGACACATTCAATCACTTCATTTTAAATGGTTTCAAGCTCCATTTTTGTTCCTTTTTCATGCAAAGTGGACTATGAAACAAGTGTTCGTAAGCAGAGTAGGCTACAGGGTATGAGGTGAAAGGGTGAGGTCTTCTCAAGTCTAATGTGCAACCTCTGGCTAACCACTTGTTTCTTTCACTGTAAACATCCGTATTCATGAAAAACATGGTATCTAAGAGAGCTTCCCTCTTGCCTGAAATGCTTGTCCTCGTGACTTGGTTCTGGATGGCTTACTACGTTGATTAATTTGGTTTCTGTATGTTTTTTCTGTGTTGATTATGTGTGCATATCAGATGACTAGAGTGACCCAGGCTACACTACTACACTAGCCTGACTCAAGGCTTTGTTTTCCAAGACACTATACCCGCCGGGGCCCACGCTGCCTTCAAGGGGGGAATGTGACCAGGAGCGTAGCTGCTGAACCTTCCGAGATGGACACCTTGTCTCTTTTTTTTTTAATTTTATTTTAATTTCCTTTTTTTATTTCTCTCTCATGTTGTCTCTTTTTGCCTCTTAGAAGAGTTGCATATTCATTGTGTTGTTTTTCTTTTTTTTTTCCTTTTTTTTTCCCCCTGTCCCCTTGTCCCTCGTCCCCAAACCCACAGTTGCATCCCTTTGCCTGTCTTTGAAAGCTGTCCAGGTTGACTTGACGCCCAGTATTGGAGGGAAGTTTGAACGGTACAAGGGCAGCTGTTACTGATTTTTAATGCATTAAGATCTCCTCCTCTCTCTCTCTTTCTTTCGCTCCTCTCCACTGATCTGCTCAGGGTTCTACTTTGGAAAATAATCTTCACAAAAGTATTCAGATATCAATTTTCTTTTTTTACTGAATTATAGGTACTGAAATAAAAATGCAGCATTAGACACCACTATAAGACAGCATTCAGTTCTGTCAAATTTTCAATGTTTTATTGAGATCGGGACTTTAACTGTTCTTCAGCCACTAAAATGGTAATTTGACCTCGTTTTTGGCATTGCTGTCCTGTCAAAAGTAAAGCAAGTTTTAAATGCATATTTTCTAGGGCTGCATGATATATTGAAATAAAATTGACTTAACGATATGGTTTTGTGCGAATATCACATAACAAAGGTTTGCGATTTAATTAAATCAAATAATGTGCTATAGGTTTCAAAGTAAAGCTCGACACTGTTTATTTACACAATGGTTTGTCAATTTTTCATCGATTTTTGATGGCTTAACATTGAAAATTAAATTAAGACTTAAAACTTTGTATTGTAATTTTACAGATATACTTTAATTTTTATGAAACTTCAAAACGTTTTATTTTTTATGAAATACTCGAAATTTTATTTAACAGTATAATAGCATTATTGCAATATTTCTTATTTTGTTTAATATTTTTAATCACAACTAAATTCAATAATCAATGTTTTTTATTATAGTCAAATTTAATGGATCAATAAAAGCAGGAATATGAAAGCAGTGAAAACTCGAGAATTCTTTTTTTTTTTTTTTTGAACTTATATAAACTTTAAGAACATTCTTGAATTTTAAGATTGAATTTTTAGATTGTAAACTTCATGGTTACTGAAAGAGGTTTGAGTTGATTCTTGTGAAGAGTGTGCTCAAGGTACCCATCACACTCAAGCATGGTTAAAACGTCATTTTGAGCTTTTTCATTTTTGTAAGCTCCTCAAAAAAAATATTTTTAAATTTCTGAAAAATCAATTTCTGTATTTTTCATAATCATATTTTCACAATACATATAAAAACCAAAATATCACAATGTCGTTTTTTTTCAATATCGTGGAGCCCTAGTATTTTCTTAGTTTCTGTAATTCAGTAAAGTGACAGAACTGCTGCTAGAGAGTGTTTAGAATTCCTTATTTTTTATTTTTTTTTGCAAGGCACTGCTTTTTAGTTCACTGTAATGACAAGGAATCTTTAATTACTCACCCTCATGTCGTTCCAAACCTGTAAGAAATTTGTTCATCTACAGAACACAAATTAAGATATTTTTTATGAAATCCAAGAGCTTTCTGACCCCCTTTAGACCAAAACGCAATTACCACTTTCAAGGCCCAGAAAGGTAGTGAAGACATCCTTAAAATAGTGCAGGAGACCTTATTGGTTCAACCTTAATTTATGAAGCAACAATACTTTTTGTTTGTAAAAAAAAAAAAAAGAAGAAAAGAAGCAAAACTAACAACTTTATATTACAATTTCTTCTTGTCTGTACCAGACTCCTATGCTGTTGATGTAGTAAACACAGCGCAGGGTTTCTGGGGCATACATCATGGTGCCCACGTGAACAGCGTCGGAGACTGACACGGAAGAAAATAAATTTTTGAATTAAGTTGTTAGGTTTGTTTGTCCTTTTTTTGCGCACAAAAAGTATTTTCGTTGCTGCATAAAATTAAAGTTGAACCACTAAGGTCTCCTGCACTATTTTAAGGATGTCTTCACTACCTTTCTGTGCCTTCAAAGTTGTAATTGCATTTCTGTCTATTGGGGATCAGAAATCTCTATGATTTCATTAAAAATATCTTAATTTATTTTCCGAAGACAAAGAAAGTTCTTACAGGTTTGGAACGACATTAGGGTGAGTAATTATTGACCGCATTTTAATTTTTGGGTGAACTAAAAACCCTTTACCTTAAGCATGGTTTTGGGGAACATTTTCTTTAGAGTACTTCTGAAGTAGCTGAACTTCATATTTGAGGTTTTAATTTAGTTCTTCACTCATTTAAAACAACAGATATACAAATAGTCAGTTTACCCATGAGTACTATAGTCACTGTGAGCATAGAGCATGTGTATATTTTACCAATACTGGCTGAAACGTATTTGGAAAAAATACATTTGTTGTTAACTTTATTGTGAAGGCAGCACTTTTCAGGGTTGACAGTTTGAGGGGGGATTTCTCTAAGACACTTAAAATGTTCTTCTTTTCTGTATCTGATGTTCTATGTGCTATTAGTGTGATGCAGCCAACATGAACGGTTGTCTTGTGTTGCACACCCTTTCCAACACTGCGACACGATCGCCCCAGGGAGAAAAGCGACCATGCTTGATATCGTATGGTTCATGACCAATATGTTTCCAGTACAGGTGACCCATACCATAAAGTGTTAACTCATTCTCTACATGTTCTGTTCTGATCTTTTTTTTAAAAGAGAGAAAAGGACAAATCACAATGTTCTTTTCTCTGTTTTGTGTGCAACAGTCATCCTGTTTACAGTATGTCTTGTGTTGATAGTAAAAGAAGAGTAGCTATGCTAGTTTGTTTGATTGTTCATGGTCGGGGTTGGAGATGCTCAGGGTGGGTGTTAGAGCACTAGGCTTGTTGGAGGACTCTCCTCTGAATCTTGGGTCGTAGAAGAAGCAGCTGGAGACGTCTCCATTGGCCACCCTAATGCCAGTGTTCTTTTTCTTCAGGAAAAATCCCTGAAGAGGCAAAGGCTCTCTCGCTTTTGGCCCCTGCAGCACCCGTAGCCAGCCTGATGAGTGGAGGAGGACTTCTACCCATTCCCAGCCCCACCACGCTACAGAACGTAAAAACACACTCTCACAAACTAAGGCTGGAATACACTACACAACTTTTCCACATATTTTTTATGTCTGATTTGCATTTTTGGAGGAGTTGATGCTAGCTTAGTCCATGTTTTGGGCAGTCGGAGTTGATAGATTTTACCTTTTTGTTTTTTCTTCAAAATGAAGGATTTCAAACATGTTTGATATTTTGAGCTGATTTTTGAAAACATATAGTTTTAATTTGTCATGCGGCTCTTACCAACGAGACACATTTAGCTGACGCTTTTATCCAAAGCGACTTACAATTGCTATATTTTGTCAGAGGTTGCACCCCTCTGGAGCAACTAGGGGTTAAGTGTCTTGCTCAGGGACACGTTGGTGTCTCACAGTGGATTCTGCACGAGTTTGTTGCTTTTGGAACGACTTGAAAGTCGTTTAGTTTATGAAGCCCAGTTTTTGTCTGTAACCATTTACAAAGTCAACAAGTGTATGATGCCTTGTGTTTTAAAATGTGTTCAGATTTTTAAAAACCATGTAGTGTATTCCGGCCTTTACTGAAAACAACGAATAAAATGTCACCTACATTCTCATCAACTGCATGCCACAAAATGTAATATTTTTAATCCCAAATTGTCTATTGTCAAGACACTAATGTGTGTCGTATTTGGGGGCAGCGAGGTCTTCCTTTAGCTAATCTGGGGGTCCTGAAGTCTAGTTTGGACACGTCTGTGGCGGCTCTGAGTGCAATCGCTTCGCAACCTCCGCTCATGGGTAATGTTGATCCCTCTAAAATTGACGAGATCAGGAGGACGGTGTATGTCGGCAATTTGAATTCACAGGTATGTGATAATGAATTAGAATTTATGGCAGAGGCAAATAGCTCTTTACCACAAGTGCAAATAGAAAAAAAGAAAGTACCGTAGTGTAAATAGTGTTAGATGCCATTTATACTTGCATAATGACTAAGCCACAACACATAAGTAGGGTTGGGTATCGAGAATCGAGTATCGATTGGAACCGAGACTAACTTTTCGTTTTTCCCGGAATCGTTCAAAAGTTACAATTTCAATTCCTAGTTTTGATATTCACAGTCCGCCGAGCGGAAGAAGAAACCGCTGAACAACACCAATGAAGAAGCGTCTACCGGAAGTGTTGGCATAACCTCGCGAGTCGAACATGAGTACCTTACGTCGGCGATCCAAAGTGTGGCTTCACTTTTCTAAAAATAACGAAATCTCGGCAAAATGCAAAATTTGTGACAAAAGGAGGTATTTTTACAGAAGGAGTATTTCCTTCAGAAAGGATTATTTCCTTCAGAAAGGCCGTTGGTTAGCAAGGTTAGCTAAACTTTTTTGCCTCTTAAAAGAATCAGAATCGAGAATCGTTAGGAACCGGAATCGAAACAAGGAATCGCAATCGGAATCAGAATCGTTCAAATTCAAACGATACCCAACCCTACAGATAAGTGCTGTCTAAACTGGATGCGATAAAGCAATTGTTGCATATCTCTTTGTTCCTTGTGTCAGAAATGGCAAAAGTGTTTGGAGTATGTCAGAAGTAGAATAGAACATCAGTTTACTGTTTGGGATTTGTGTCGCGCTGCATCCAGTGTTGACGAAATCAATTTTTATAATGGATGCTGCATTATTGGGTCCTTACTTGTTTCTATCCCTAATGTCCACCCTTAACCCTAATCTTATTCAACCTGCTGATCGGTAAAGGTGTTTTTCAAGATCCAGGAAAGGAGCCATGGTTACATGGTAACCATATGAGCTGCACGCGTCTAAATTGGTGTGCCAGCCAATCTGATCAACGCGAGAACACCACATCCAATTGCAATTATAGGCCTGTTAAATACTTGTTAAACACTTTATTCACATTATTAGATACTCGTTAGGCTCTTTATTTCCACTTGTTGAATATTTGTATTTATTGTATTCACTAATATGCCAATGTAATTAAACTGGATTTTTAAACTAACGCAATATTCTCTTTTGTCTTTCAAGCTCATGTTGTGCTTGTTTTGTCCTTCTCCTGTAGAGCACCACAGCAGAGCAACTCCTCGAGTTCTTCAAGCAGGTGGGAGATGTGAAGTTTGTTAGAATGGCAGGAGATGAAACACAACCTACACGTTTTGCTTTTGTGGAGTTCTCTGATCAGGATTCAGTGTCACGAGCACTTACTTTCAATGGAGTCATGTTTGGGGATAGGCCACTCAAGTGAGTGTTCTCCAGTGAGAAAGACAACTCGCCAGCGTTGTTTAATTCAGTTATTTTAGTGCATCCCATTTCATCCATGTGATATGCATTTAAATAGTAATTAATCAACATAACGTCAACTTTTTCAGAATTAACCACTCCAATAATGCCATAGTGAAGCCTCCAGAGCTCACGCCACAAGCTGCAGCCAAAGAGCTGGAGGACGTCATGAAGAGAGTTCGAGAGGCTCAGTCAACCATTGCTGCTGCCATTGAGCCAGGTCTGCCCTCTCAAACCTAGACTGTCACAGTAATACTTTCTTAAAATGTTTTTCTTTTTAATTGATGAGAGTTTTGTTTTTTGTTTCTTTCAGATGACAAAAATCGCTCACCCAGTAGATCCAGACATTCCAGAAGGTCAAGAACTCGCTCTCGCTCCCCTTCACACTCACGGAAAAAGCGATCCAGGTCGAGGCACAGGTAGATTAGACACATTTTTAAAAGTACTTGCCTTGTTAACTAATCAAGTAGTTAAAAACTACTCAAAGTATAAAGTACGATCAATCAATCCTATTGAAAAAGTAATACACGACAATAACATGTTACTAACAATGTAACTTTTTTTAACGGGGAATATCTATCTATATATTGTGAGTTGTAAATTAGCATTAGCTACAAACTATATGCTGCGCATTAGTTACAGGCTTTGTATTGTGACTGTTTGACTGTATGGTCAATGTTAAATAAATGAAAAAATTAAATTAATTAAATTAATTGTACATCTATTATATAATATATCATTTATTTTAAAAATAAAAGTTACATTTATTTAAAATAATGTATTGTTTCTCCCTTAAATTAATACATTATTGTCTAAGTGTGTGATTTGTATATATGTACATTACTGAAATGCTTAACTTGGACACAGTCACCTCTGATAAAAGATCACTCTAAATTGTAGACATGTGCATTTTGTGTAAATCTGCTTTGAAACTGATTCCCCATTAAAAAGATAGCTTTTTAATGTTGTATTATAAAGCAGATGTGGCTGTATGCACTCACACTAAAACTTGCGCAGACAGAAACATTCAGGAGTGTAGAAACTGGTCATTTTTTATAATTACTTATTTTCCAGTCTATATCAGTTCAGTCAAATTTTGTGCTGGAAACATCCATGACATCTTTTCAAAAACATCTTATCCATGGCAACAAATAATCATGGCCACCCGATGTGAATTATAAAGTTATTTTAGTATCGCGATCACCAACAAAATAATTTTCATGGGGATTAATGTAACACAGATATATGTTACCAGTCTGAATAACATAATCAAACAGGTGGGACAAGTCAGATATGGTCTAGTACTTGCAGTGTAAAGAATTCGAAAAACTGTTAATCATCATTTGAAAGTTATTCTTGAATACAGGAAACACAGCAGGTCCTTAAAAAGCCTTAAACATGTTATTTAGTTAAAATTACCTGTCATAAATGGCTTAAATATCCTACATAGAATACCAAATATTTTACATAGAATACCAAATGTCTCAAGAGTTTGTCAATTTTAGAGCCAGAAAAACAAGAATCATGATGAGGCCTGATTTTAGTACAAACCCGATTCCAAAAAAGTTGGGACACTGTACAAATTGTGAGTACAAAAAGAATGGAATAATTTAGAAATCTCATAAACTTATATTTTATTCACAATATAATATAAATGACATATCAAATGTTGAAAGTGAGACATTTTGAATTGCCATGCCAAATATTGTCTCCTTTTGGATTTCATGAGAGCTACAAATTCCAAAAAAGTTGGGACAGGTAGCAATAAGAGACCAGAAAAGTTAAATGTACATATAAGGAACAGCTGGAGGACCAATTTGCAACTTATTAGGTCAATTGGCAACATAATTGGGTATAAAAAGAGCCTCTCAGAGTGGCAGTGTCTCTCAGAAGTCAAGATGGGCAGAGGATCACCAATTCCCCCAATGCTGAGGCAAAAATAGTGGAGCAATATCAGAAAGGAGTTTCTCAGAGAAAAATTGCAAAGAGTTTGAAGTTATCATCATCTACAGTGCATAATATCATCCAAAGATTCAGAGAATCTGGAACAATCTCTGTGCATAAGGGTCAAGGCCGGAAAACCATACTGAATGCCTGTGATCTTCGGGCCCTTAGACGGCACTGCATCACACACAGGAATGCTACTGTAATGGAAATCACAACATGGGCTCAAGAATACTTCCAGAAAACATTATCAGTGAACACAATCCACCGTGCCATTCACCGTTGCCGGCTAAAACTCTATAGGTCAAAAAAGAAGCCATATCTAAACGGGAACCAGAAGCGCAGGCGTTTTCTCTGGGCCAAGGCTCATTTAAAGTGGACTCTAGCAAAGTGGAAAACTGTTCTGTGGTCAGACGAATCAAAATTTGAAGTTCTTTTTGGAAAACTGGGACGCCATGTCATCCGGACTAAAGAGGACAAGGACAACCCAAGTTGTTATCAGCGCTCGGTTCAGAAGCCTGCATCTCTGATGGTATGGGGTTGCATGAGTGCGTGTGGCATGGGCAGCTTACACATCTGGAAAGGCACCATCAATGCTGAAAGGTATATCCAAGTTCTAGAACAACATATGCTCCCATCCAGACATCGTCTCTTTCAGGGAAGACCTTGTATTTTCCAACAAGACAATGCCAAACCACATACTGCATCAATTACAACATCATGGCTGCATAGAAGAAGGATCCGGGTACTGAAATGGCCAGCCTGCAGTCCAGATCTTTCACCCATAGAAAACATTTGGCGCATCATAAAGAGGAAGATGCAACAAAGAAGACCTAAGAAAGTTGAGCAGCTAGAAGCCTTTATTAGACAAGAATGGGACAACATTCCTATTCCTAAACTTGAGCAACTTGTCTCCTCAGTCCCCAGACGTTTGCAGACTGTTATTAAAAGAAGAGGGGATGCCACACAGTGGTAAAAATGGCCTTGTCCCAACTTTTTTGAGATGTGTTGATGCCATGAAATTTAAAATCAACTTATTTTCCCTTAAAATTATGCATTTTCTCAGTTTAAACATTTGACATCTATGTTGTATTCTAAATATAATATTGAAATTTGAAACTTCATTGCATTCTGTTTTTATTCACAATTTTTACAGTGTCCCAACTTTTATGGAATTGGGTTTGTATTTATCTTAATCATTTAACACAATCATTTAAATAAATACATGTAAGTATTCTACTTTTTATGGCACACAGCATACCGCACATTTATGACAAGTGATTGCTTATGATCTAATGTTGATGAATTATGACCGTGAGTGTTTACTTTATGAGTTTATATTGTAATATGGTGTAGATGGTTGTAAGCATATTTTATTTCCTTCAGCTTTACGAATGAGCAGCTGGACGTAGATAAGCAAAGGCATTTCAAAATAAAGAGTCGCAGAGTATTTTTAGCTGGCTTATTATTAAAAGTCCTGCATTATGCATTATTTTCTGTTATTATTGGTAATGGTATCTGGCATTTAATTTGAAGTACACTCTTGTAGCTTCTCTCTGGGCCGCCTTGTCACAGAAAGGAAAGATTAAGAACATTATTTAACTCATCCAGTATCTAGATTTTACCCCTATCACCACAATAATATGTTTATTGTATTTCTTTACACATTTTTATCATATAATCAATAATCTAATATCGATCTCTGATATATTAGTACCAATATATATAAAGTGCATGAATATATGTTAAGATTTGTTTTAAGATTGTAAACCTTTGTTCTGCATGCAGTATTAATTGTATTCGTTCAGTTCTTAGAAAATACGTTTAATTTGATTTTAAAAACTGCAGATAGCCTGCATTAAATAGACAACCTACATTAAAAAAAATCCCCTGCACATGTGCTTTACTTGTTATAATTGTATAATTGGACATCATTTTCACTTGTTTAATGTTAATAATTTATGAATTGTTGTAGAAATGAGAAAATAACTTATTTTTTCAATGGTATTTAAAGGGGACGCCCGTCCCAGAGATCACGTCAGAAGCTGAACGCCTCACGTGGGTCCCATAAGAGACGCTCACGTTCCCGAGAAAGGAAACACAGCCGGAGTAGATCTCATTCCAGGTTAACCTGCACCACCACACTGGCCACTTTATTCTCAGATTTAGTTTTGTCCCAAATAAAATTTCAAAACGAAGTTGTCTCCTAAACACAGGGACCGAAGGAAGGACAAGGACAGTAAAGTTAGGAGGGGCGATGGCTGGGATGAAAAGAGGTTGCGGGACAAAAAGGGAAGGATGCTTTCCAAAGGCTACGTTGGCTCCAGGCGTTCCCGCAGTATAAGCAGGTCAGAAGAAATTCTTGTTAAACCTGCAAAAAAAAAAATCTGCTATGGAATGATATATATATATATATATATTTATTAGGGGTGTAACGGTTCACAAAATTCACGGTTCGGTTCGATACGATACACTTGTATCACGGTTCGCTTTGATACGGTTCGGTACGTTTCCGATTTAATTTTTTTTTATTATATTTTATTAAAACTAACATCATAAAGTATGATTTTTTTTTTAACTTTGAGCAATGCTGGAGCTATACTTGACTTTTCTTAGGAGCATATAAAACAAAACAGCTCCTTGGACAAAATGAAATGTTATATTGTAGTAGTTATAAACAAATGTTTATTTTAGTTCAGATTAACATTTGAGGGCAGCAATTGTATTCATAATGTCAAAATAAAACCGACTTGATGTTACTTGAAAGCATTATAGCCTACTATTCCTGCCAAACTTTCATGGTAACAGTTAGTGTTACTACAGTAAATCCATGGTGAATGTTGCTGATCTGTGGACACTGGATAGTTCATTCATGGCACAATGTTTCTTCCTGGTTTCCACGTCAGCGCTGTTTGATCCGTTAATAACGGAGAAATGTGAATGTTTCTCACTAGATCTCGCAGCGATGTTATTACTTCAGTGGCGAATTCTTTACTGGATTTGGCTGTTTAGTAACAGTTCTGCTTGATTAAGATCGGCTCACACTGCATTGGTCCAAACTGATAAACGGTCCGTCAACCACACAATAACGAGTCGCTCAGTTTCGTTCCACTTACATTACATTCGCCATTTGATGTTGGGCAATGTTGTGGTCACGCCAGCGTCTCTTACATTATGAGCGCTTTTGCCACGCGCAATGGGCTATATGCACGCATAAGTTCCGCATTTGACGTAAGGATGCTCGTCCATTTCCGGTTGTGTAGATTAAAGCGGAGGAAAACCGGAGAAAACGGGATTATGGCAGAGTCTTCAATATTTACTGTCCTCCCGTCTTTGAAACGAAACGTACATACGTTTAGATGTAATTTTATATATAGTTATGTTTATTTAATATAATTTTAAAAAGAAGCATAAACACAACGAGGGGTGTCTGTTTTATCTGTTTTTGTGACTAACGTTTCATTAGTATAACCATGGAGTATAAAATTCAATATAAATTCTCGGTATTGCATTGGACTCTATGATCGGCGGAAGTTATCGAGCATCCTTAATCCTTCACCGGAAATAACGCCGTGCATAGAGCCCATATGCCTACATTTGAAATAACAAAATTTTGGTCAGTAGTAAAATTGGTCCAACGAACCGTTCGGTTCAAAAATGCGTACCGAAAACCGAACCCGAAAGCCTCAAACCGAACGGTTCTATACGAACTTTGCCACACACTTCTGTCCACGCATTTCTTCCTGTGTTTAATCTCACCCCTAAAATGTGTGGATTAGTGATTCACAGACTGCGATTATATCTGCTAGTAAAACATGGGTTGAGCAGGCCAAGTAATAAAAAAATATCATTCCAATTAAATGCAGGGTGATGAAAGATGAATCATTAAAGGGACACTCCACCCATTTGCATTAAGCTTTCCATTGTTAGAAACCCAGTTATACAATTGAATGGTCGTGCAACGCTCTCTCATTTTCCCCTGAGACGAGAGAAATCTGCTATTTACCTCTTCACTTCCTCCTACAGTGATGCAAAAATAGTCATTTTACGTCATTTCACTTCCATTGTTGGAGGAAGTGTGAGAGGGGAAGGGAGAATTTCTGTAAAGACTAAAAGCACTAGTTCCTACCCTTTCAAACCCGCCCATAAGGGGTTAGACCTAATGCACTAACAGACCTATCCCAGATCAAGATCAGTGCCAGTGTGTTTGATTTCACTGGCAGAAACTTGGACGAAGCTACTGAATACGCAGACGGATGCATTATGGAGAATTGGGATTACACATAAGCCGTTTCTCAATACCAAGTACGCAGACTTCGGACTTGCGTCCTTGGTAGTTCAGACTTGCCAAGTTCGACTCAGGAGAACGAACTAAGAACGAAATAAGTTCTCGGACATGTCCGGTCGTCGATGTCTGGGATTCAGCTTTTGCTTTTCTGCAGTCGCCATGCATTGTTTGTACAGCTTTTGTTTCAATATAACTGAATTCATTCTTATTGGTGAATCTAAATGTAGTGTTTTCATGACCGCTAAAAAAGTGATCGTTTGATGTGCGTTTTAACATTGCTAAGAAAATTCCCGCTCCTCCGTGAGAGATACGAGACCGGTAACTTGCGTCTCACAGGTGTCGCTCATCGGTAATCACGCCACCGGCCTTGCGTCGTTCTCCACACGGCCCACAGTAAACATGATGAATGGCGACTGTAGAACGCAATAGCTGAATCCTGGATTTTGGGCGATCTTGAAACACATTTTCGGGCAGGCTCATCACGGAGACTCACTAGACTAACCTAGACTTGTTTAACTACTGCACTATTACCGGTAGGCGTGGCCTCCTAGGGCAGCGAAGCAAGTACATTCTGGGAGTTGTTGTCTTTCATCCACATAAGCCAATAATGCATTTTCTGGCTTTTCTCTGTTCATATAAAACTATCAAGTCTCTTCAGAACATTTGTTCTAAACCTCTCAATTCATATGGATTGGTTTTACGATCTCTTCATGGACTTTTTGAAGCGCCAAAGTGGAAGTGGTTAGCTGTCATCGGAAAGGGCCAAAAGCTCATTTTCAAATAATGAATATTTACAATATGTACAACTTATCAAAAATAAGCAAAAATCAACAAACAATCTGGAGGAGAGGAAGGAGTAAAAGAGATGTGCTTAAATCTAAAACTGAATTAAACAAAAACCCTTCTAGGTTTAACCCAAGATAAACTAACTAACAACAAAAGTAAAAATAAATAAATAAATAAAACAAAAACCATAGATAATTAGCACCACCTCCTAAGCCTAGTGCATCTGATACACTTATGAAACCTACTTGCTGTAAATGTAGGTCGCGACCTGCTTACCTGACTCACAGCCTCTCCAGCCAGTTTACACAGTGTTCATTTGTAATTGAGGAGCAGATTCACAAAAGCAGCGACCACAAACATTTAACGTTTCACATCAAGCGTGTATTAAGAGCATAGAATTAACACAAGCACAAACAAACAATGAGAACTAAAACACCTGCCAGATAGTAAAGCCAGCTGAATGCTTTGTTTGGTATGATACAGAATATCCATGCTACTTGTTTGTAATTTCACAGATACTTTCTGAATTCTGAATATAAAAATGTGGATACAGTCCAAAATATTTGCTCTGGCTTTTGTTTTAAATGATTTGTTCAATTGTTATTGCTAGTGTGCTAGTTATTTTCCATTGCACAAGCAGGATGTGGTGGTTGGTCAGTGTGGTATTTGTCCCGCCCCTCCTCCACTTTGATTGGACGCAGGGATGGAAATGAACTTTTTTGTCCACCGGCCACTGTGGCTGGTGAATTTCAAAATCTACCAGCCACTCAATGTTTTTACCAGCCACTTTCTTGTTTTTAACCGACAATGTGTAACTGAATGTGACAATTAATACTACAAGATCTGCAATAGTTAACCAGTTTATTTAATCTTAAGTCTCAATGAAATACTGACATTTTCTCTTTATCTCTTATACACACACAAACCATGAACTGATATACATTTTGTTAAATTAGTAGGGCAGATTAATTAAAAAATGGAAAATTTATTAAACGTGTAGAATACTTTCCAAGCCATAGCATTATAAATTCAGATAGTGTTATATATAAAAAAATAAAACATAAGATTATCTTTTAAAATCGATTGAACACGGAGCAGTTTTTCATTTATAAAAAATAAAACATAAGATTATCTTTTAAAATCGATTAAACACGGAGCAGTTTTTCTTGTGAGAGAGACTGGAAAACCCGTAGTGGATAAAAGCGGAGTGATTACAGAGTGCAGAGAGGAATGTGCTTTGGCTCGAGTCCTGGCTTTGCGTCCATGCCGTTAGGAGCTCAACATCTGTCTCGCATGGACATTCACTCTAGATAAGAGGATATTTTAACTAATTTGCGGTAAAACTAGTCGATCACGAGTGGCTCAACTGGTGGATCTATAGATAAACTCATCTTTCAGACGGCTTGACACTTTAGCGTGAGAAATCGGGGGTGTGGCGTGAGAGCGTGAGAATAGCCGTGAGTCTCACGCTCAATGCGTGAAAGTTGGCAACCCTGATTGCGCTTGCGGCTAGCTCTCCCTTTGGACGGCAAACCGCCTCTCGTGCTACCACGTTTTCTTCCCTCATCAAGCCTCGACGGAAGAAGCGCGCGGATGTTGAAGGTTTGCTTCCTCTAAAAGTGTCCGCTGTCCAGGTGAAACAGTATGCTATTTTTATTTACCCGCCACGGTGGCGGGTAGGTGAAGTGAGTTTACCCGCCACAACACAAAATCACCCACATTTGGCTGATTCATCTTTCACCATCCCTGATTGGACAGCTGCATAAAAAGTGACAGTGGTGAGCACAGTGTTTTACCCAAAGTTGAAAATTTTTCGTCATGCTGCTGTTGTTTTTGAAATGTTTTGAAAATGATCACATTGAAAACAATTGAAACTCTGACCTTGGGGTCAGGAATTGCTTACTGCACCTTTAAAACTGAGTGTCCTGACCCTCAGACTCAGATACCTTTATTAGTCCCAAAGGGGTAATTCAGTTTGGCTGTAAAACTGAATTGCCCCTTGGGGACTTATAAAGGTATCTGAGTCTGAGGGTCAGGACACTGGACATGCAGCCTTAGTGCCCATATTGCATGCCCTTACATTAGATCACATGAGATCAAACGACTACTCGACAACAAAGCAATTTGTCGACAATTTTAGTCATTTTGTAGTTTAATATACACAGACACCACATCAGCAGCGCCGCCGGTCGCCATGTCTCAGCGCTTTCATGAAGAGGACGCAACTTCAAGCCCTTCGTGCATGCATGCCATAGACTGTAAAAAAATATGGACGTAGTATCCGTGACGTCACCCGTAGGTTTCTGAAGAGCGTTTTTGAAGCCTAAAGTGGGCGGGGCTGGCCGTCAATGTGGATCTATCTATCTATCTATCTATCTATCTATCTATCTATCTATCTATCTATCTATCTATCTATCTATCTATCTATCTATCTATGATTTTAATTAATTTTATATATAATTTTTTTTCTTCATTTAATTTTGTGCTATTATACGCAGCTGAGAGAACAACACAGGTGTTCTTCTGTTTGATCACAACCTAAAATTTGGTAAAAAGATCAGTACTATCAAATCATGCTTTTTTTTTTTTTTTTCCTCGCCAACTCTCTGTGAAACTCTTTTTTTTTTTTAGCCCAGAGTAACTTTTAAAACAGTGATTCATGCTTTTGTAACAACTCTAGATTAGTGTAATTCACTTTATTTTGGTGTCCCTCAGTCTTCCCTCTCTCCTCTACAGTTGCTAGAATCCTCACTGGGACCCGCAAGTATGAGTCGGTAACCCCTGTTTTATCCACACTGCACTGGCTACCTGTCAAATGTAGAACTGATTTTAACATTTTATTATTTGTTTATAAAGCTGTGAACAATATGGCCCCTGGGTACCTACTCTGTCCGTACACTCTTATAGAACTCTAATATCTAGTGATCACTGTCTACTCATTGTGCTTGTGTAGATCTTATGTAGATTAAAGGGTTAGTTCACCCAAAAATGAAAATTAAGTCATTAATTACTCCCCCCCCCCCCCCCCCCCATGCTGTACCAACCCCGTAAGACCTTTGTTCATCTTCGGAACACAAATGAAGATATTTTTGATTAAAATTTGAGAGCTGGATCACTCCTCCATAGACTTCCTAAGGGACTAGCACTTGACGGCCCATAAAGTCATTATAGAAAATGTTTAAATATTCCATGTGCCTACAGCGGCTCAAATATAAGTTTATCAAGCGGCGAGAATATTTTTTGTGCGAAAAAAACAAAACATAAATAACGACTTTATTCTACTATTCCATTACTTCCTTATGGGCCTTGAGACGAGAATTGAAGAGATTTCCAGAACGCATGCGCGACAACTGAGCTGAGGACGTTCTTCTTCGACTACTTCTTGTTACCGGCTGCTCACCGCTAGTATTACCGCCCCCTACCATATAAGATGACGTGCTGATATAGCTGGAAGCGCAAAACTTTCTGTTTACAAGCAGAGGAAGACGCGCGCTGTACATACGCATTTCAATTACCGTATTTTCCGCACTATAAGGCGCACTTAAAAGCCTTTAATCTTCTCAAATACGACAGTGCTGTGCGCCTTACAATCCGGAGCACCTTATATATGGATCATCATCTTATACGGTAGGTGGCGGTAATACTCCTAAGCGGTGAGCAGCCGGTAACAAAAAGTAGTCGAAGAAGAACGTCCTCAGCTCAGTTCTTGCGCATGCGTTCTGGAAATCTCTTCAATTCTCGTCTCAAGTCCCATGAGAAAGTAATGGAATAGTCGAATAAAGTTGTTATTTATGGTTTTTTTTCGCACAAAAAGTTTTTATCGTCGCTTGATAAACTTATATTTGAGCCGCTGTAGGCACATGGAATATTTAAACATTTTCTTTAATGACTTTATGGGCCGTCAAGTGCTAGTCCCTTAGGAAGTCTATGGAGGAGTGATCCAGCTGTCAAATTTAATCAAAAATATCTTCATTTGTGTTCCGAAGATGAACGAAGGTCTTACGGGGTCTGTACAGCATGAAGGTGAGTAATTAATGACTTAATTTTCATTTTTGGGTGAACTAACCCTTTAAAGGAGGCGATCACGCTTTTGCAAACTTTGGAATAGTCTACTTCTCTACATTAGATTAGCTCCCTAAAAATGCTGTTTCCACCTTCAAATCTTCTTTGAAGACCTATTAATTCTCTTTGGCTTTCAATACTCAATACTTGATTTAGTTATGATTGTTGTTTCCCTCTTGATTATCTTTTTGTTGTTGTGTGTTACTTTATTGGTTGTTTTATTTTAATTATTTATAAATAAATATGAACATATATAAATTAATTATATATATATACATATATTATATAAATTAATATATTTTATTGTATTTCAGTATTGATATGTATCGAACAATCAATAGTTTTAAAAACACTATATTGCACTTAGTTTATTGTTTCAGATGACTTTTTAAAAGACTACAATTGAAAATTGTATGTATTATATTTGTTAATGGATGTTAATGTCAATCCCTGATCACACCTGTTTTGATGGCTCTGCCTACAAAATCACGGACATGCTATGGAACAAAACAGTAAAATGACCGTATACTAAATGCTGATTGGCTACATGTGTGTTTTGGTGCTCGGTCCGATCCACTTTCAACAGCATTTCTTAGAAATCACTTACTGAAACTTCAATACAATTTTGTATCAATGTATACATTTTTAGGAAAGGTGTTAAGATATTTTCACTGAAAAAATAAGACAATGTTTTTAACAATAATTGCTCCAATATGTGTTTTGTGTGTGTTTTAGATTGACTTTAAGTTTTTTCCTTCTTTATCTCACAGAGGACATAAGAAAAGAAGTAGATCCAGGTCACCCAAGAGGAGAGCCAGGTCACCATCACCATCAAAAAGGTTTACTGCGTGTGAAAATTTGGGTCTGACACTATTATATTGGCTTGTTCATTATTAAAATCTTAATTTCTTCTGTCCATTTTCAGAGGCAAGAAAGATAAAAGGAGAGATAAAGGATGGGACAATAGCAGGGAAAGGATGGAGAGCTCAACATCCAGGAGGAAAAGCAGGGATTCTGATCATAAGTCTAAACCCTCACTGGTGTGTCTGATTTTTATTTTAAACACTTAGCACATTGACATTCATTCATGTAACGCAAACAGAATAAATTTATATTGGTGGATTGATGCAGAAATCTTGGTCTGAGGATAAGTAACACCCCAAGTATTAACATTGAAGGGCATATTGCAGGTTAGAGGACCCAACAAGTCAATGCATATAAAAATAATGTAACTAGATTTAAAATATACTTATAAATACGCTACAGAACCATCTGGAGTCGTTTTAGTGAGAACATTTTACTGGCGCGTCTGAAAATGGGTGTGGCGGGCGTGATGCAACGAGCGGGAGAGCGGTCGATTCAAACAACATTAAAACAATGGATCGCAATGACATTTCGGACGCTGAGGAAATACTCGTATGACGGACCAAGTCATAAAGTTATGAGCCTGCTATGCTTCCAAGATAGCAGGGACAGGCCAGGATAATGTTAGCCAGAACGGTCAGAGACAAATTGAGTTGTGGTGTGAGGAGAACCAATGGAGAACAGGACAGGTGTCTTTAGGTGAGAGACGTGCTTATAGATATACACGTTCGCTAACGATATACACTGTTCTCACAATATTGTACAGATTATTATGATCCTATCACAGGCCAGCAGACATTAGTATGTTTAGGGTAGATTTATACTATTAAATGTATAAAAACTATACTTCTAGTATATTTCTTTTGTACTAAAAGCATACTCAGGTAAATTTTCAATACATATTTTTCATCTGCGTTATAACATAAACAGAAAATTAAAGATTTGAGTATTTAAACAACCAATTTTGTTTTTCAATTACAAGTTGCCTCTATTTAGGGCATGACTACCTATTTCACACTATTTGATGCCATTCGTACAGTATACGAATACGACGATCAATATTCTTGCTTCGGCATCCCATGTTGAACTCCTTAAAATCGCCAGGATGATAATCATTTGATCTGAAGTGAACGCTACACACGACTGTGTTTTCAGAAGCCGATGCAGAAGAGAAATCCCGTCTCTTCCCCCGCACAAACCGCACCAGGAACGAAAGATATGCTATAGCACTGTCCCTTTTTTCTTTTTAATGGAAACTTGTGGACTCGATCTTGAAGTCCTGACAGGCCGGAGTTTTTGCAACCTCCACAAACACAATAATTTGCCATGACGGTGATAAATTAAAATACAAAAACTACCGAAAGCACGCTGACTGACGACCGCTCTCACTGAATACCAGCCTACACTGCACTGAGCCGAGGCTGACGTGACGTAAAATGACTTTGAAAAACGATGTTGAAAAAAAAGCCGTTTTTACTAGCAATCCAAGAAACGCTCAATTTATCTACTAAATTAGGGCCCTTATGTTGTTTTAAAACATTTTAAATCCTGCATTAACATTTCATATGGTATTTTCATACAAGGTTATCTATAAATTTAGATTTTTTATTTTTTTTTTGCCTGAAATATGCTCTTTAAATTAACACCAACACATTTTACACGGCTGTTCCTAGAAACTTATTGTGACTTATATTGTTAATAGCACCATGGAAGGACAGTTTCTTTATTCATATTGTGAAAGTACATCATTACCACGTACAAGTAATCTCTGGAGGCATACGAACTAATGGTTAAACAGTGTGGTGGCATTCAGATAGTTGTGGGTTTGGTCGTTGGAGAATAGCTAATGTTTGTATGTCGTCTTTACACCACTGTGAGTTTCTTCTCTATTCAACTCACCAGATCAATAACTGGTTTGCATTGATGCTTTTGCAATTACATTAGGGATGTTTGAAAACTCTAAACCTAAAGCTCATAATGAAGGACTCATTGCTCCCTGCACACTTCAAAGAGCTCGCTGTTCGATGTAGCTCAGCTGTAACGCAGCGTGCTGCACTAGTTTTTATAGATAAGAAACACAGCTGATCCTTTTAAAGATTGACTTTTAAACCCTTTTCTGTATGCCTGTCTGCATCTGATAACTATCAATATGATAATTTTACCGTAAAGCTTTGATATTTCCTCTAAATTTGACGTCTTTTTGATAAAGTGTGAACCGTTCTCAGGATTTATCTTTTTGACAGTTTTGACATCTGATAAACACTTCTGACACGATTACTTGGTACATCAAAGCATCTGAGCATCTGACAATGAATGTGCAGTGCATCATTTAAAGAATATAAAAATTATACATTTTTCATCAAAAAATATTTTTTTATGCCTTGGGTTGAAGTTTTTCAATAATCATTTATTGATGCATGGATTTATATGTATTATATGCGACTTATTATTTTTTGTCCATCTTACAAAAATAAAATCATTATTATTAGTGTGCATCAAAAAAAAAAGTCAGGTTTTTATTTCAAAATAATAAATATATTTTGCATTAAGACAATGAAGCCTATAGTTAGGATGTTTATTTGCAATTTCCTCACAATTCTCATTGCTATAATGTAAAAAAATATTGTCAGAAGTTGATTTTGGGGTACTGTAAGATTCACCCTTTCTACCTGGGGCCTCATTTATAAAACTTTGCCTAGGATTTGCATCAGAAGTAAAGTGGCGTACGGATGAAACATAGGACGTGCGTACGCACAGAAATATTCGGATTTATAAAACCGTGCGCACGCACATCCTACGCATTTTTCCCTTAATAAATCACAATCAATTCTAAATGTAGCGCAGCTTTTGCGGCTTCATGTCACGCCCATAGTTGCCCATAAATAGTCCGTGAAACGCCCACAAGTTAATATTCATCAATTGCGAAATCATGTTAAACACAGAGAGGAATTAACAAAAAACGTAACTTCACTCAATGTGAATTAGAAGTTATCGTTGGCGAGGTGGAAAAGAGGAGAAAAATGTTGTTTGGAGCGCACAGTGTGCATTACTAATGCCAAAAAGGCACTTGAGCGGCAAAAGGTTGCAGACGCTGTAAATACTGTGTCCTCACAACCTCGGACTGTGGCCGAAATAAAAAAGAAATGGTCGGATATCAAAGTCGAGGCAAAAAAGCGTCTAGTCATTAATTCAATTAGAGAGGTGGCCAAGGAGTTGGGCAAAATCAAGACTGTTCTAACTGAAATAAACTGCACAATGAGGGAATTCTTGAATAAATAATATATTTTTTCCACACCTTTTGTTGTGAAGATGACTCGTTCACTCCGAATCCTTCCATTTAATCGCCACATCTTCTAAGAGCGCAAGATCAGCCACTCTGCGTCATTATACGCATTGTGTCGGGGCATTTTATTTACATCCATTTTCTGCATCTGACAAGCTACGGATGTCGGTTATAATCTAAATGGAAAATAGTTCAGCGCAAATGTAATTTCTTGCAGCTTTCTGAATGGTTGAGACGTCATACGTTATTTTATCAAAAATAAAATAAACTAAAGGCATATGCATGAATACCATGATTCTGTAGCTGATTAAGATATTTTTACGATGAAAACGACTTTCCCCAGGGGACAAATAATAGGCCTACATCTATCAATTTATCGATCTATCTATATATCTCCATAATTATCTATCTGACTGACTATCTAATTGCTAAATCTGCTCCGTTAGACGGACATATTGGCGAGAATATCAGTTTTGTACATTATTTCGTTCTGTTTACCATCTTATTTATGAGGATGAATTGTATATGCCAATATTATTGAAGAACATTTTTTTTTTTCTTTTTGGAAATATGTGTTAATGTGCATTTCCGTTGCAGATCAATCAAATGGGTGTTCGTGTAGGCTGTTAATTGTAAGACTTTCTTTGTGAAGTCTTTGTGTTATTTATGAGAGGCAGTATTGCCATTTATTTTACACAACCGTCTACAGTTTCACACACGTTCACGTGTTTTTTCCAACTGCCGACGGTGTCGGCATTTCTCATTTCACCCGTTTTTGTGCGTACGCCTGGGTCAGAGCTTGCGTGAAGGACCGCACATTTTACCGTGAAGTTTGCTTTTTATAAATACCAACTATTGCGTATTGCCTTCTTTTGTGCGTACGCAACGTTTATAAATGAGGCCCCAGGTCTTTTCTATCAGTTCTTTTTACTTAAATGAGTAGTTCACTTTTAAAAAAACCCTTTGTTGATAATTTACTCACCCCCATGTCATCCAAGATATCCATGTTATTCTTTCTTCAGTTGAAGAGAAAGGAAGGTTTTTGATGAAAACATTGCAGGATTTTTCTCCATATCATGCACTATACTGGTAACCAAACGGTTCAAGGTCCAAAAGACAGTTTCAGTGCAAACTGTTCAAAGGGCTTTAAACGATTGCAGACGATGAATAAGGGTCTTATCAAGCGAAACGATCGCTCATAAAAATTAAAAAAAAAATAAAGTTTAAGTTTTATAAGCTCAAATGGTCACCTTGTTCTGTTCTGTGATGCACGCTCGTAACTCTCCTGTTCGAACTCGTTCATCAAAATGAACAAATCTTTTCCCGAGTCAATTCGTTCGTTGAATGTACCAAATGACACGAAAAAAGATTCGTTCATTTTGATAAAACGAGTTCGAACAGGAGAGTCACACAGAACAGAGCAAGGCGAGCATTTGAGCTTATACAACTTAGACTTTATTTATTTTTGAAATGACCACTCGTTTCGCTTGATAAGACCTTTAATCATCGTCTGGAATCGTTTAAAGCCCTTTGAACAGTTTGCGCTGATAGTGTCTTTTGGACCTTGAACCGTTTGGTTACCAGTGAAGTCCATTATATGGAGAAAAATCCTGGAATGTTTTCATCAAAAACCTTAATTTCTTTTCGACTCAAGAAAGAATGACATGGATATCTTGGATGACATGGGGGTGAGTAAATTATCAGCAAAAGTTTTTTTTTTTAATAAACAAAAATGCTATTGGTCAAAAAAAGTTGTTATAATGCAGTATCTATGGGCGTGGTGTTTCACTATTAATTTCTTGATGCATTGATTTAAACGAATTATGTGACTTTTATAGCTATGATTTAAAAACATGAATCATTTGTTTAGGCTAATAATTGATGTACAGTAGAAATACTGAAAATACAGTCAAATATTCATATTAAAATATATTATTTAATATTTTATATTAAAATTGTAATATTGTGAAATTCAATTCAAAATTAGTATTTTCAATGCATATATACATATATTTTAGCATTCAAGGTCATGTGATCCTTCTGAAATGCTGATTTGGTTCTAAAAATATTTATCATTTCTTGTGCTGCTTCATATTTGTGTGGAAACCATGATCCATTGTTTAGATAAATAGAAAGTTCAAACGAACAGCATTTATTTAGACAGTCATGCTGACTTTATTCTAGTTTCAGTCAGATTTACAGTACATGGTTTGATTTTGCAGGTGGAAAGGAGCTACGAGCAGGAGTACGACAGTGACATGGATGGGTCGGGCTCTTTGGGAAGCGATGACCGATCTCCTCGAGCTCATCTCAACGGCAGCTACATGTGCACTTACGCTGAGGAGGATGATCTCTCTGCAGATGAGTGATCCACATCTACCCATAATGCCAAGTCTGGAGAGCACATCACATTATGTATCATACTTTAACAACTGTCTCACTTTTTAAAGTGCTTTCTCTTGCGTCCTATTGCTGTGTGATTGTAGGCTTTTGAAAACATTTTCTACTGCTGTGAATATGCTACCTGTCATATGATATTCATATGGATGAAAATGTAAAGTTTTGGATAGATCTACATGTGTGGAGAGATGCGGTATGTTGAACGAAGGTGCTTGTATTCAGGTCACTTTTTTTAATCCGTTTTGGATTTGTTTTCTTTTGCATGTCTCTTTGTGTTTACTCTCTTGTGGAAAGATAACATTTTATGCTTATTTGCATCTTTTTTGGTCCATCTTACTAAAACAAAGCCATTATTATTGGGTCATCAAAGTAATATATTTTGCATAAAGACAATGAAGCCTATCTTTAGGATGTTTGTTTGTGATTACTTTCATGACATTTAAGCACAATTTAAGCACAATTGTGATGAATGTATGAACAGTACCGATCACAAGAGTCTTGCGCTAATCAAGGCTGCATTTATTTGATAAAAATACAGAAAAAGTAGTAACATGTTCAGTGTTACATGATCCTTCAGAAAGCATTGTAAAATGCTGATTTATTATCTGTGTTGGAAACAGTAACGCATAAGTGTCATCTTTCAAAAACATTAAAAATAGTAATGTAGAAAACTTTCGACCGGTACTGTATGTGTATGCTGAAAAGTGGAAAGGCATTTGTCATTAATTGTCATGAAAATGGTAGCAATTGATTTTGGGGTACCTGAAGATTCACCCTTTTTTCATTCACCCTGTTCTTTTCCATCAGTACCATTTACTAACGTAAAAAACAAAAATGCAATTAGCACGTGTGTAGAATAACACTCCCAGTGAACGGTTTCAGTACAGTGCGTTGAAAGTGCCTAGACAGAGACTGTGGCAACAGAATATTTAACAACGGTAAATCAAGTCAAAAGGGGTTATTTATTTAGCATTATAACAAAGCGTGTAAAATGCATAGTTTTATCCTTATTTTTTAACAGTATTTAGTATGAACCAGTATATACAGAGACCGACATTAATCTCTTCATACTAGTATTGTGTGATATATATTCAGATGTTTTAATGGGTTTTCTAAGAAGCCTTTACCGATTGATGAGTACGGTAAAATTATTAACAGTCTCATTTACTACAATTTAAAGCTTCTGAATATTATTTATTTTTTATATTAAGTATTTTTTGTTCAGTCTAATTTTCTATGTGGGTATATAGAATTATATACAGTACTCTTTAGCAGCAGAACTAATATGAATAAGAATGAAATGTCTTCTCAATTATATTGGTTTGTGAGCATTGTGTGATTCTCTGCATCTATTTAGATATACATGTATAAATGATTTTCCCTAACATGACATTAAAGAGGTTATACTTCCAGTTTATTACAGACAAATGATTTTTTTCTGAATGTGCAGCTCTTTACATTGTGTGAACAAAATGTGAGTGGTGCTTGTGTGACATGCCAAGTTTCTAGTTTTAAAGTCCCCGTGAACCGGAATTTGCAAACGATTTTTCTCCAGTGCTGTGACGTATTTCCAAGTGAAACGGAATATTGAACAGAGGAATATTGAACAGAATATTGAGATAAATATATTTTATATATATTTACTTGCACTGATTAATTGTTCACCACAAGACTAGTAATATGCGCTAACAAAGTAAATAGGTTCAATTTTGATTTCACAGGGACTTTGTTTGATTCATTAAATTCCAAGTCGTAAGATATTTGCAGTTAAAACCATGGGTTCAGTTTATTTCCATCATAAGTAGGGTTGCCACCCGTCCCTTAAAATACGGAATCGTCCCGTATTTGTGAAATAAAAAGCGCGTCCCGTTTTGAATCAATACGGGACGCGATTTGTCCCGTATTTCCGAACGCATGATCCCATGCAAATCATGCCACCCGCATTCTGTGAAGACGCGTCCTATTCTACCCTTGATTGGGTAATACGCGCTGCCATTGTTGGTTTGATTGGTTTGTTTAACACCATCAGGTTCAGGGCCAATCAGAGTCAGAAGAGGGCGGGTCTTTAGCCATAGAGTTTTGTTCACCTCTGAAACGAAAGCGTATGCAAAAGTAACGACGAGAGTGTGAGGAAACAAATACTTCGCTGGAAAGTGTCAGTGGAAATGAGTAGCCTAAATAAGTTATAATAAGAAATAAGAGAGAGATAGATATTAAATACATATTTAATAATAAAAATGTGAATGTTGTGGAGAAAAATAACTTGCTTAACAAACCCAGAGAATTCCATAGGCTATAATAGAATTAACAATAGCCTATGTCTGAATACATAAATAATAAATAGATTTTCTTACCAATAATACAAATAGTCATATCAACAGACATAATTTTACATAGACCCACACATAAACAAATAAGAATTTTACAGTAGGCTATAGATAATACTAATAGCCTAATTATAATGGAATCAATTTCACAAGAAGTAGAGTAAATAATTTGCCCGTGGTTGCATTTTAGTGTCTTTGTTTCCATGATGAGTCTAGAGAACATGCGACTCAAAGCAGCATGCCGTGACCTATGGTCGTGACAGACCAATCCTTGCTTTTAAAGGTATAGGCCTATGGTTTTTTGTTGTTGTTTTTTTTTCTTTGGAAAATAAATATATAATATTAATATACAGAGCTTGGTAGACAGGTAACCTATTTGTTAATGTTATTAAACAGATTAATAAATTTAAACATTATAATTTGCATTATTAAATATTAATCATATATGCATACTAAATTGTGATCCTATCTGTTATACACACTTTATGGCAATTAAAAGAAAGTTTTAAAAGTGCTACATTATTTAAATAAAAAATAGACAATTACATAACAATTTCAAAGTCAAATTCAAAATCAATTTTAGTAAATAAGAACAATCCATGCATAATTGTCAAAACATGATTAATGGTTCTGTAATCCCTAACATATAGCTACAGAAGAGTTTATATAAGTAAATAAGAGTAAAATAATAAAATGTAAAATAATAATATAAAATGTTTTCTGTTGCAAGCTCACATATACTTGATCTAATTTTTTCTCGTGGTTTATTGTTGAGCTGTGTAAGACTAGAAAACTGGAACTGGTTGATATAATCAGTGACCAGTGTCTTCTGGAGACAAGAGGACCTTGCTTGAACAACACACACACACACACACACACTCTTGCAGAGGAAGCTCACACAAGAATATGTGTTTTTAATGTGAATGTGATAATCTTAAAGGACTGTTTAGAATCATTTCAAAAGTCTCAGGGTGACTGGTAATAATGTCTCATTTCCAAAGAAGTTAAAGAAAAGGTAATAAGGTTTTTAAGAATATAGAAATATCTTGCACACAAAAGGGTGTGTCTTTGAGTTAATCACTTTCTACCTTTTGTCTGAATGCAAACTCTCCTTCCCCCAGTAAACATGGTGGGGGTTTCAGTCCATTGTAGTTTGGTGATTGGATCAGGTAAATTTGGTGATTAGATCAGGTAAGGTTTGGCTCTATTTAAGGAAAATGCACAAGAGTTCATGGCTGCTTTCTGTATTCAGATCAGCCCGTGATGTTGTGTCTTCAAGGCTCAGCTCATGTAGTATGTTGGGTAAAGTTCCTTTGTCCTAAAACAATTGATGGTTTGCTCTGATTATCTTGTGGAATTGTAATAATACATTTACCTGACATAATAAATTGTTATATTTGGCTATTCTAACAGACTTTGACTTTATTTTCATTAAGTTAAAAGTAATAGTCAAGCATTAACTACTAAATGATGCACAGATATCATTGATAAACCCTTTTCATTTTATGGAGTCAGATGAAACGAGTTAATACATATGATTAAATGTATTGCATTTAACTAAAATTCACTTTGCCATGGAAAAGACGGAACACGCTTGAAACCTTCACCACGAATCGAATTCCGCGATTTGGGTCGATTTCGTGCCCCTTTTTACAGTGGTGACACGCCTCCGTGATCGCAACAGATGGATTTAGCGAGCAACGTCCTTTCCAACAAAGTACGGGAATCTTAAAATCAACAAGAGGTTTGAACATCTTCCTTTCTTCTGACGCTGTGGTAAGTCACATTTTTCTACCCTTTTGAAAAGTGTTGAGAAAATGTTGTTTGCCGTGGTTGCGGGTCGGAAGCCCTTTGTTTAGTCCGAAACTAAAACGTGAGGACATGATAACGGCCGCGGCGCGCAGATAAAAGTGTAAAACCCTTGTTTTTAAAGATATCCTTGTTTGATTAAGCAAAAAGAAAAGAAACCTAAATTTGAAATAACATCTTTCAAATGATTTTCGGGTAGACTTAACGTTACTCAAAAAAACGAGGCTAAGAGAAATGCTAGTATTGCCAATGCTGCTTCCAAAACGAGGCTAATGATAAATCCTAAAACCATGCTGCTTGAACAATGATGCTAATGCTAATGCTAAAGCCATGCGGCTTCTGAAATAAGGCTAATGCTAAGGACATGCTGCATTCAAAAACGCTTAACCCTTTGTTTGACTAGCCCTCCATGGGCCGGAGGCCACATTGAATAATATTCTATAATTAACATAAACTAATCTTGGCAAACTTTATATTGCATTTGAAAGCTTCCACTGTAACACAGATGGGATTAAAAAGCAATAATGCAATAGTTTGTATTTTCAAATTTGGAGTTGTGCTTCACAATGTAACGCACTCATAGAACACACTGTATAGTTGTTTGTGCTACTCTATGTGCACATAGGCTAATGTAAGTTTACTCTTTAAACACAGGATTGCTTTACTGTAAGTGTTTGGAACACTTAGGTAAAGGCTGTTGATGTTGTATTCAAGGCCATATGTATCCTGTGAACTGAATTAAACACATGTGTGTGTCTATGCCGAATGTGGTTATAATATGATTCACAATGCTCATTAATTCTTGAAAATTTTGAGCAGAAACTGTGAATGCGCAAATCATTAATCCTAAAACAAAAACATTTTTATATTCAAAGCTTCAGGGAAAGAAATTTCCCCAAATATAAATTGGAAAATGTTTAAAGATTCTGTCCTGTTTACACTATGGGCCGAAAAGGTCGAGCCTACATTGCATAAACTCAGTAAAAAAGGTCTTGACATGGACGCTATTGACAGTGAAATTCTCACTTGGTGGGAAACAGTGGGTAGCAAGCAGAAGAAATCAAAACATGATAAAATAATTGAGGCTTTAAACTTCATAAGTTATAAACGGCTGGATAAGTCAACAACATTTCTAACTTCGCTTATAGATGCTAAATGTGAAGAAATGCATTCTAAAAGTGCAGAGGCAAAAATGTCTGAGGAAAAGATCCAAGATCTTCAAACACAGCTAGATAGATTACTAGCTGAGCAGTTAGCCCTGACTGAAAAGTGTAAAAATCACAAACACACCATTGCAGATCTTAAGGCTAAACTAATTGTTGAAAAGTCCATTTCTCCCAAAACGCTCAACAGCGATGGGACTAAAAATGTGCGCTTCTTAAATGAGTCAGCCTGCTCTAATAACCCGGTACCTTTTCAGACAGATGAAGCATGCGATAAAGTTTTGAACGAAGTGTCTGTTTCAGCCTTTAAGGTGATACGGCACCCAAACGGCACAGAGTCAACCATTCGGCGTCCTCTAACGGTAACTGAATGTAGTTCGTTTAAAGCAGAGATCGGACCATTCCCTTTGAAAGGGCCATTCGAACCATGGTGGAGACGCATTGTTAGCCTAAAACATGCATTTCAGCTTGAACCAAAAGATATTTGGCAAATTGTTATCAGCTCAATTCCAGATGTCCTGAACTATAAGATACCACCGGCTTTGATGACAGGCACCATTGTGCAGTCAATGCATCAAAACGAGCCTGAGAGTGAAATCTTAAATAGATTAAAACAATGTCTGCGCGATCTACGTGGTTGTAGTCCTGTTGGATGGGAACTGATTCTTAATCGGAAACAGAGTACTGAAGAATCGTTTGAGACATATGCAGAGAAAATGTTTGAACTGTTTGAGGAGTATTCTGGAATTGAAGGTGTTAACCACAACAATGCAACTCTCCTTGAATTACTACTTACAAATGCAGGGCCGCAAGTACAGCAATCGCTCATGTATGGTGCTTCTCCAGCAAAAAATACATTCGAAGGAATTGTTAGCTGGGCAACAAGAATTGAGTCACGAAAACAAATACATGGTGAGGTTGCTGTGATAGAATGTCATGAAAATCCTCCATTTGCAGGAGAATTCAGAAAGCCACACGGTGGCAAACTGAGCAGATTCTGTAATTCCTGTCACAAAACAGGTCATACAGAGGAAAAGTGCTGGTCGTTGGGCAGAGGCAGACCTCCTCCCTATTTCAAAAAACGCAGACGACCACACTCTGATGACACAAACCAGCGCTCTGCAAGGAACCAAAGCTCAAATACATCTAAAACCCTCACAGAGCTAACAACTTTGGTCACTCAAGGCCTTCAGCTATTAGCGTCATTTGCTAGTCGGGTAGCAGCCCAATAGCAAATAGCTTAATAGTTTTAACATCTAAATTTAACGAATCTGTAACATTTTTTTTCCAGAGACCAGAAATAATAATTTCATTTATATTCTTAAATTCGAATATACATTATATTGTAATCGCCAAGCAGGCATTAATTGGAGAAGTGTGAAATTAATCCTTACAGTTGGATTTCGTTGACCTAATACCCTGTGCCAAAAGGGCGGAGGTGTGTTTTAATTCTTAGGTGTGGCACAGGTAATTGCCAACCTTCCAAGAAAGCGAATTTACAAGGAGGGATCCTCCTCTAAGGTTTACTTCTGCAATTCCTCGGAGGACGGACGCCGGGACGGCCGATCTCCATGATTGTTTGAACATAACCTGAGATTCGGGAGATGGGTGAAAAGACAATTCAAGTGGCCTTTACATCTCACAACAACACATCACTACATTAGATGGCCTCCCAGTTTAGAACTGGAACTAAATTTTGCAACACAATTGTTATACAGTAGAATTCCACCCATCTCCTAGACATGAACACTGACTGAACACACTCCTCCATCACAACACCCTCACAACATCATCACATGGAATAGATCAAGTCTATCCAGACTGAACATTACACATCATAAGATGAAGATGACATAGAGTCCAATAGTGTCACTTCACTAAAGATTTATTGTGCATCTTCACATTTACAGATCCGGATAGCTTCACACACATAAGGATGGGAAGCTGATCCCATGACATAGCACACGCTATTCACCACACTCTGCCAACTCATGGAAAAACATTGGAAACACACACACACACACACACACACACTCTTCTCTCTTTCTCTCACAAAAATGCTCAAACTCACACTCAGACGAAAAAACACACACTTTCACACAGAGACGCACTCGCGCCCTCACACAAACACACAAACACACACTCTCACACCTGTTGTAAGGAATGAACAATCTCCATTCTTGAATACATTTAAGAATGTTCCAAGTCACTTCCTAGATTTGCAAAAGTGGCTTGCATTGGAAGATTCCTGAACAAACACTGATTGTTATATACATATTCATTTGTTGAACATTGATTGTTTTTATTACATGACTTCTTGTCAGAGAAACTATTTGATTGTTTTGAGTACACTGACCTCTTGCTGCATTTCCTTTTTAGAATTCAGACCAAAAAATATATTTAAGAATTGGATATTTAATATGAGACATCCTTACCATTCAATACTCTGAGAAAAATATGAGCACACTTGCTGAAAGGAACATGGTATTTTACATTAAACATGACATGATTTTGTTTTGTTGCGTTTTTATGCATTTCTTCATGAGTTCAAGTTCATATGTGTTTCAATCGTGAAGCAGACATTTAAGATGCTTTTCAGACGTCTCACAGAGAGCCCGTTCACCCACTGAGGTCTGTCCAGACAACCGCACCGCTGGAGGTGACAGGATTGGTCGAGAAGGGACAGATTATCGTTATGGGGAAGGTGCCAGGAAAACGTGAGTGTCTTCATGAAGGAACGACACGCCAACTGAAAGTCCAGATTGACTCTATGAACTTTGCTCACATCACCAGAAGAAAGCCTGAACGCCTCATCCACCTGCTGGACTCATGCTACTTATGCCTGATGAGAACAGGTGTTCTGCTGGTGAACAAAGCCCTCTGAGCGTCAACAGATGCCAACATTGCAAAGATACAATTGTTGAATTACACCTAGGATTACAACAAACGTCTTACTGTGTCTGTGACCCCTAAGTGTCTGAAACTGACCCATTGGGGTCAAGGAGGGAATCTGTAAGACTAGAAAACTGGAACTGGTTGATATAATCAGTGACCAGTGTCTTCTGGAGACAAGAGGACCTTGCTTGAACAACACACACACACACACACACACTCTTGCAGAGGAAGCTCACACAAGAATATGTGTTTTTAATGTGAATGTGATAATCTTAAAGGACTGTTTAGAATCATTTCAAAAGTCTCAGGGTGACTGGTAATAATGTCTCATTTCCAAAGAAGTTAAAGAAAAGGTAATAAGGTTTTTAAGAATATAGAAATATCTTGCACACAAAAGGGTGTGTCTTTGAGTTAATCACTTTCTACCTTTTGTCTGAATGCAAACTCTCCTTCCCCCAGTAAACATGGTGGGGGTTTCAGTCCATTGTAGTTTGGTGATTGGATCAGGTAAATTTGGTGATTAGATCAGGTAAGGTTTGGCTCTATTTAAGGAAAATGCACAAGAGTTCATGGCTGCTTTCTGTATTCAGATCAGCCCGTGATGTTGTGTCTTCAAGGCTCAGCTCATGTAGTATGTTGGGTAAAGTTCCTTTGTCCTAAAACAATTGATGGTTTGCTCTGATTATCTTGTGGAATTGTAATAATACATTTACCTGACATAATAAATTGTTATATTTGGCTATTCTAACAGACTTTGACTTTATTTTCATTAAGTTAAAAGTAATAGTCAAGCATTAACTACTAAATGATGCACAGATATCATTGATAAACCCTTTTCATTTTATGGAGTCAGATGAAACGAGTTAATACATATGATTAAATGTATTGCATTTAACTAAAATTCACTTTGCCATGGAAAAGACGGAACACGCTTGAAACCTTCACCACGAATCGAATTCCGCGATTTGGGTCGATTTCGTGCCCCTTTTTACAGCTGTCAAGTTGGCATGTTGAAATAATCAGTTCCATACGACACATTTTTTAAAAAAAAATTTAATTTAATTATTTATTTATCTCGTGTATGGGTGTCCCTTATTTTGCCTCACTGAAGGTGGCAACCCTAATCATAAGATCGATCGTAGGGTTCTGGAAGGGATGTAGACTCTTAAGAGTGAGTGAAAGTAGGAGGTAGCTGAGCCAGTGGTTGATCTGTAAGCAAGTGTCAACACCTTGAACTTAAAGTCCCTGTGAAATCAAAATTGAACCTATGTACTTTGTTAGCGCATATTACTAGTCTTGTGGTGAACAATTAATCCGTGCAAGTGAATATATATTAAAAAAAATGTTTTACCTTAGTAATCTTTAATCAAAATCTGAAAAGTTACTTCCGGTCTGGAACGGTTTCTTTTTCTGATGACGTAGGTTTCACAGTTTAGGTGGGGAAACGCTTAACCACTCCCCTCAAACCGTTAGTTTGCTATGAGCGAGAGATGGAGAGGAGGAGCGCTAGAGTAAAACCCTGCCCTCTGTTCAATATTCCGTTTCACTTGGAAATACGTCACAGCACTGGAGAAAAATCGTTTGCAACTTCCGGTTCACGGGGACTTTAAATGTGTAAGAGTCCTTACGATTTTAAAATATAAAACATGAAACACTCAAATGCAGAGAAATATGTTTATTATACATGAACAGGAAATAAAAGAATACATACAGTGAAAGTAAATGAGAATAAAAGTGGTCCGTACGACTTGTATGCTAAATTTCAAAATTATGTAATAGCTTTGAATGAGAAACCAACTAAAAGTTGGCATGAAATGAAAATCTATACTGTAAATGCATTCTTTTGAAATTTTTGAACATTTTTTCCATGCATGATTCATTTATTTGACCTTTTTGTTTATCCCTTTTCTTGCAATCGACTGCAAGCTTACAGTACATTAAGATTTGCCTCCATCCAATCAGCAACCAATGAATTTAACCTGTCCTACATTTTTCCCCCCACAATAATCAGCTACGCTGATGTCACAATACAGAAGAACTGTCGCTGTTTCCATTACATTGTAACTTCAATCACTGAAAATGTTCACATGGCTGATGTTTAAAACAAGGCTTACTGAAATATGAACTGCTTTAATGGTGCGTTTTGCCACTTTTTGAAACTTCACACTTTCAGGCCCCATTCTCTTGCTCTGTATGAGAAAGAATAATACATAATTCAAAAAATCGTGTGCATTTCAAAATTTAGATTTTTGAAGTAAACAAATTTAACCCTTGTTCAGACACAGACCATCAGTCCAAGTCCAATTTTGTGCATATCCTATCCACAAGTTTCCGAGGGGCGCTCATGTAAAAAATAAAGTGGGTGAAACTTCCGGTGAGGCGGCGGAAGTAGCATTCCAATGGTATTTTGTGTGTTAGTTAGCGAAGAGGCTAGCTGTTTTTCGGAGAATTATTTTACTATTTAAAGACGCAAATCTTTGTGAGAGATGTCGTTACGGAGCTCAGGGACAACATGTGCTGTTTGCGGTTGTATGTATAACCGGACTAAACTAATTCAGTGGCTTAAACGGGATTGTTTTGAACATAAGCTGAAAACGAAATCACAGTGATCCTGCCAACGACTGAAGTTTCCATCAACCTCCCAAAAGACAACGAATCATCCTGTGTACATTTGTTTAAAATCTTAATATTTTATAAACTCTATCAGCATGTGTTTGGCTGTTCACTACTGATGTTACACCTAAACTCAGGATCAAAGCCTGTGTTGACAGGATACCAAATGTGCCAGTTAATGTATTCAAGTAGCACATTCATTTATAATTTTGAATAAACTCCAAAGCACAATGACTGCTAAGTGTGTATTTTTTATTTTAATTGTTTGTCAGCTCGCACAACTGTCTGTCAACATGCCTTGATCAGTATTGATTATTAATAATGTTATTATAATACTCCCAATCAACTACTGCGGAGGTAAAGGTACTGTCATTTCACCCTTTTGAATTTCGTTGAGGTTGTGTTCCCACATCGTTAGCTAGTTTGGATCGCTATAACTTGAATGACTGTCAACTGTTGAATGAACGAGTGTCAAGCATGTCAAGTAGCGCATTGTTTACTTCAAACCGGAAGTCGCGCCCACTTTTGACGCAAGGCCTCATGGGGCGTAGGAAACTTGTGGATTGGAATAATATAGTCATATTTAGTGTGAACAGTAGGGGTGAAACGATATTCAAACCGAACCGAAAAACATCTCCGGTTACCTAACATAACCTCGGCTCTCTGAGAAAAGGGAACGAGACTCTGTGTCACTGAATGGTGGTGCTAGGGGTTATCCCTTTATTCCTCGGATCTAGTGAAGCCTTATGATAGCCTGGATGCCAGCCGAACTTAGCCCTTGTCCACAACATTTGAGGATGGGACGTTCGGTCTGGACTTGATCCGTTGTAAAGCAAGTATGCCCAAACCAAAGCTGTTCGCACCAATCAAATTGTCAGGGCGGGCTTTATACAATGATGGACTAATGATCAACCGTAATGTAATCATCCACGTCACCAAATAGTGCTTTTGTTGTAAAATGAATTCCTTTACAACAAAGGGTGGCTGCCGCTGGAGAATTTAGATGTGTAGATTCAGCCATCGTGTCTGTTATGGAAGATGCGCATTCATTTTAAAAAAGTAACAGAGAACCGCGATCAAGGCATTGTCGATCCAATTGAGTCCAGAGGGATTTTCTTTCCTGGTTTGGTTGAAACGCGCCCCATTATCACAGCGCAATGGAGCAGTATCAGACTCACATTCTGACTAGAATCTGAGTATGACATCGTCAGGCTAGCCCGTAGACTGGATAAATGCACTTCAGAGCACTGTGATTTCTGGGTTCAAAACTTCATCACCATTACATGGCCCTGATGGGATATTAGAGTGTCTATTTCTTGAAAAACAGGACTGCTGAATGTAATCCTGCCCTGGATGTACAGAAACAAATTCTGGTTTCACTGTTTGGATGGATGGACCCTGAATCCCAAGCATAGTGACCTGCTGGAAGATCTCCATGGTGGTGTAATCACTCATGAAAACAACAGCAGGTTGGGACGCTGGGTTGAAGTCTGACCGTGTCATGTTGGAGATGGTCTCTTCGGGGTCTTTGCTTTCTAAACTTGTGATGCCATTGTCAACAGAAGTGCTAAAAGTGGAGTCTGTCATACCAAAGTCCATAGGGAAGGACCCTGTGGAAACAGAATCTCTGGTGGGGACTTGTGTTGGTGTGTCTGGGGGTGTGATCTCATCCAGGATGGATGGGCTGTCCTGATCTTCACTGAGAAGAAGGATGGTGGGCTTCATACCAGCGTGAGAAATGGGAGGACTGCTGAGTGGAGTCACCTTGCTTTTGCTCTCAACAACACACACTGTACTGGAATCACATCCCTCACTATCCTCTAACCGCTGCCTGTTCAGTGGCTCCAGGATACCCTACAGAGAAAAAAGAAAGAAAGTTACCAGGATTCAAAGTCCATATAACGAACACTGTTCAAACATCACATTATGAATTAAAACTTAAACATTTTAGTAGTCCTAGAGGATCCATGGTGTCCGTGGCTTTTTCGACACAGTACCATGGTGATACAGTTATAAATACCATAGGAACATGGTATATGAAGAGTTCAGATGCAAAAGCCTCTAAGTGCCATTTGAAATTTTCTTCTAAAATGATCATTTTTATCAAGCTTGTATAGACGAATCCGACGAGCGTTCTGTGTAGGCTGCCATCTTGTGATTTAAATCTTTATTTAAATAAATGAATGAATGAAATCAAATAAACAAATTCATGTTTGTCCTTTGTGTCCATTATTTATCTCATTTTCAAATTGCAACAGGCAAGGGTAAGGTAACGTTACAGCTAGAAAGTATACATAATATCGACCAATTAGTGTTTTTAAACCATGGAAAGAGGTCAGTATAACAGCAAGAGAACAATTATGTCACATAACGTTACATTTAGCTCAGGAAAGCCATTTAATGACCATAGCATGTTAATTGAACAGAAAAAATAGCAAGAGAGGAGATTTTGCTGATCACTATATCACATATTATTTTTTTACTTATGTCATTAAATAATTGTTATTATACGCGAATGTCCACGTCTTGTACTCGCCCAGGAAATCTCCGTACGGCACAAGACAGGGGCAGTCGACCCGGGGTATTCACAATGTTTTCTCTTCAAAATTGAAATTTTACTGCCACCATTGAAACAATTTATAAAGGAAACTGTTTATCCACTCGACATTATACAAGGGGTAACGTTGCAACGTTAGAGACAATCGTAAATCGCAGGCTGTTTATTCCAGTGGACGCAAGTTGCAACTAAAACAATAGGAGGCAATGGCGCAACGCTACCCAGCAACAGCAGTAATGCCGCCCGCTTACTTCCGGTAGTTTCGCCGGATTCGTCTATATTTAAGTTCAGTAATTTCACTTAAATGGCAATGAAGATTACCTATTAATTGTCATTTAAGTGAAATTACTGAACTTAAATATACAAGCTTGATAAAAATGGTCATTTAGAAGAAAATTTCAAATGGCATTTAGAGGCTTTTGCATCTGAACTCTTCATATATATATATATATATATATATATATATATATATATATATATCAAATAAATGCTATCTTTTAAACTTTCTATTGATCAAAGATTTCTTAAAAAAAAAAAAAAAAAAGTTTCACATGTTCCACAAAATTATTAAGCAGCAAACTCTTTTCAACATTGGTAATAAGAAATGTTTCTTGAGCACCAAATCAGTATTTCAATCATTTCTGAAGGATAATGTGACACTGAGGATTGGAGTAAAGAGTGCAGCTCAAAATTCAGCTTTGCCGTCACAGAAATATAAATTACATTTTCAAATTGAAGAATGGTTATTTAAAATTGTAATCTTTCAAAATATCACTGGTTTTACTGTATTTTTGATCAAATAAATGCAGCCTTGGTGCAAATAAACAGTAGTTTGGCATAATCCTTAAGTATTATTTCTTAGATGTTTCAACAAAACTGCTTATTAATATTTAAAAAATGTTAAGCTCAATAAGTTTCTTAAAACAGATAATTGCACCTTTTTATTGAAAGGTTGATTTAATAATATAATAAATACTTTTTGAGTTTTTGAAAAGAAATGGCAAAACTATGTTTGAAAGCAATCATTGGATGTGTTCAATCACAAGTATTCAATGTGTAAAGGAAATATGTTATTACTGTTTTATTTATGGTTACACCACATGGCATTTTTAGTGTCATTACATTTAAAATGTTATTTTATAAACGTTTTTCAAAAAACACGGAACAACGTGAATACAAATATTCAGTACCTTGGCATACCATGTAAACCACAGTATTAGCATCTGAGGTCATCACGCCCTCATTAGTTTTAGTATATTCTCATCACATCATTATATTGTCTTATATTGTATTATATTATTATATTGTCATTATATTGCATCATGTATATTGTCATTATACTTCTTACCAGTTCATAAGCAATTTCAATTTTCTGAACCGCATTGCTATTCTCAGGATTTGGTATACTTGGCCACATCAGTTTCTTGGCTCTGTAAAAATCCACATTGAGCTTTACATTAGCTATTGGTCATATAGTGTCAGTCTTTCGGAAAATGAAATGCGTGTGTCTTTACCTGTGCAGAAGCCGACAGCTGAGGTGAACCGCTAGTAAAAGAATTATTATTCCCACAATCACCGCAGCTATAATGCTGCTCAAAGCAGTGAATTCTGTCGGAACAAGCCATGTTGTCAATGCATTTGTGACATTTTATAATTCATGTAATTCGAAAACAAACCTTCTGACAGACAGACACATATTCAAACACATTTACTGTGTATCATGAACAGCTGTAAGGCAGATAAACATTGAATAGCAGCTCAATGACAAGCATCTCATGATGGAAAAGATATAGACACATTTTACTAAATGTTTATATCTTTTATCTGAAACTTGTAAGTAATATATATAACAGTCAAACAAGACACAAAATCCTTAGTAAAATTGTGTAATATGAGATTTAAGATAATTTGGGAACTTATAATTATTATATATGACAGTAAATCCACATACAATAATCTTAGTAGATACACGTAACATCAAAGTTATATGAGTTGGGCAATCATTAGTGAAACCAAAATTATGTTATATTGTATAAAAACCTTACAAGACAAATAGACATAAGATGTCACATATATGAGACATTAAAGTACATGGCACATGATGATATTACCAAAAATCATTTATGGCATTTCTAAGATTTTATGACTAGCATTGTCTCAAAAAATGATTACATGGGTTATAATTGTTATTTAAAGAGTAACTAAACCCTAAACCAACTTTTTTTAGTTAATGATCTGTAAGAATGGATCTTTATTAATACCAGTCATCGATTCAAGTAACTTTTTTGACATTTGTGTATAAAGTGTTTTATTTCTACAATATATGGTGTAAAGACATCTTAGTGCTGCCCTCTTCAGGTTGAACGGTGGCTACTGCAGTTGAATTTTCCTATTGGATGTTCCGCACTTCGTGACATACACAGGTTTCAGCTCACCACGCTCTTGGTACAAGCGGCAGTATAAAAACCTGCTTGTTTCGTCAAAACTTTTTATGTATGAAATTATATAATTTCATATGAGTTTCTACAGTCAAAAACATTTGATGAAGCGGAGTTAAACTAGCATTAGTAGCATCTTAAAAAACTTAGCTAATTTAAAAAGATTAAATTTAAAATGTAAATATGCAACTTGTATAATGTCATATACTTATTAAGTGTAAAATGAAATCTTTCCACGGCAAGAAATGAGTGACTGGGTCTTTTTTTATTTTTACATGGCAATTTTGAATATTTCCTGCATACACAAAAATTTGAAAATCTAACTGTAAATAAAAATTAATTTTTTACTATTTTATTGGATAGATTTACTCGTACAATCTTAAAGGGGAACTAAACCCCGGGTCAGAGCTTGACTCCACCCACTGGCAATATTTGAAAAATGCTAAAAAAAAGTGGGCAGACCCCAGCGGAGATAGAGACAAAATAGATGCTAAAAAATCAATCTATCCTGATCGTTTTCAATACTCGCAATTCCAACTCTTGACTCGCTACAGTGTATACACATTGTAGAAATGTTTTATGACAAAAATGTTCAAGTTTACGATGCGTTTACATTGTTAGACAGAGTGTATTTAAATGAGGATACTGTACGCATTGTAAAAACATTTGTATTGTGACCAAATAAATTGTCAAAAGTTTAATGCTTGAAGTCATTTTTCTTAGATGATAAAATTACACATTCTGAAAGTAAATACATTTCTTTATATTACATTAATATTTTAATATTTGGTTAGATGTAAAGTAAAATAATTGAGTTAATACAAAGGCAAGACATTGAGACAAAGTATAATTTGAGACTTCATTAAACTTAAACTTTATTTTATTCAAAGATACGTTTTGCTTTGGCTGAGTAATGGATATTTAATTCTCTTCAAAGTAATAATTTTAAGTTGACAAGTAAATCAATTAGATGTAACAAGTTGACGCAAATTTTTTGTTTACTTTGATCTAATGAGACACTTTTTCAGTGTATGTTTTTAATTCTGCTATGTTCATTGGCTGACGTAAGAATTTTATAAAAAAAAACATAAAGAAAGCATAGTTTACATGAAAATATTAATAGACATTACATACAAAAACCTATATAGAATGGTATTCATATATAAAAAGTATGTGATTTTACATGGACATGTTACTTGGCTGACATATAAAAAACCTATAAAGAAAGCATATTTTATGTTTAAATTAGATATACTTTACGCACAAGAAAGATATATGTAATTGTAAATATTAATACAAAAATGTATATGTCTTTATAACTAAGACATGTTTTACATAGTAATTAAAAATGCAAAAATTATATGGAACATATACGAAAAACATACTTTGCCATGTACTTTCCTTATAAACAGCATATATATTGTTTGTTTGATTCATACTTAATTCATATAATTACGTTGTATGAGAAAAAATGCGAAAGTGGCCACTTTCATGAGTAAATCATAATATGAGACATATAACTCTCATAAGACATATAATGCATATAAAACATAAACATTTACTATTCTAGACAATAGGAAATTCTTACAAGTTTTTTCTGTTTCTTTTCCATATGGGTTATGAGTTTACCTGGCGGGTTTGTGACAAAGTGTTTGAAATCACTGCGCTCTCCTTCTCCAGCCGCTGTAAATGCAGACAGCTGTACACGGTACGCACTGTTGCTTTTAAGATTCAGCAGCTTAAAACTGTTTAGGCTGGGATCCACTTTAAATGCTGTAAATGTCAAATTTAATAGAAAACAGCCAAAAATGTCACATTTATATCCGTATTATCGTGCATTTCACTGATTCTTTCGTGAGAACTGAGACAAAAAAAAAAGGTTTCATTCATTTTATTTTAACTTCATTCATTCATTCCATATATTTATTTATTTGCCCAAAAGGCCCTGAATATATATTTCAAGGGCAATCGAAGAGCGAACTGGTATGACGAAGATCAAGCTTGTTTTGTGTTTGTTTCAGGAAAATTTGAAACATTTTGCCAAAACGAACGCTCTGGCTGGTAAACAATATCGAACAACCATTGGTTCATGGCAATGATGTAATAGGTAGGTGTGGGTCTGAAACACCACCTTCTTCTGGAAATATTCTCCTGTTCATTCCCTCTGTAGAGTCCGTTGAGGTCAGCTATCCGCGAGTGATGATATAAACACTGGAGAGCTGCTTTATAGTAGAAATTGAACTGTCATTCTCATTTAAAAGGAACACTGACACGTTTTCATGTTTAATATTGTAAATCTGCTATATTAATAAATGTGACATGACTTAAGTTGACTGGAATGCCAAATTGCTGAGCTCATGCAAAAATCCACATCGCAATGAACAGATGTTTTCTTAACTGCTGTTTTCTCTCTGTCATTTTTGTTATGTTTTTATTTTGTTATTTAGAAGACAGCAGTATACCACTGCAAAGTTATTTCTAACTTCTTTTTACCCCTAATCGAAGAATGGAAAAGAATTTCACTGTGAGTATATTGGGCCTTAATTGTCATTTATTGTTATGGTTTTGTTTCATGATCTTGTTTCAAATCTGTTATTTTTCCTGTTACCACTGTTGGTAAGCGTCATGTCTGTGTTTCTGTTTTGAGATCCATGCCATGCCATGTCTTTGTTTTATGTTTGATTTTGTTTTGGGAATTAAAGCTGCACTTGGTTTCTTTCTTCAAACTTCAGTTGGCTTCAGTGGATATTTTTACAGTATACTTGATCTCTAATATGAACCCAGCAGTTCAGCTCTTGTGGCTCTCTCAGGGTGTTTGCTCCCTGGAGTGTTATGTGGAGGACTTTTGTGGACTTTGTTATCTAGTGGGTTTTAATGAAAAAGCCTTCAAGAACCTTTCCGTGCTGGTTTGGATGAACCAATCTCATCTTGGATGCCTAGAGGGTCAAACAGCTGGAATCTGGTTGAATACATCGACCATGCAATTCTGTAATTCTGTAAATTCTGTAAAATCCATTTACTGTGGGAATTGTGGATGAGGGGCTCCACAATCCCGTAGTGCAAACCACAGCCAGCAGGCCATGGCCTGAGCCACTTTACGTCATGCCTGCCGAGTCTGAGTCTCTTCACATCATGCCTGCCAAGCCTGAGTCTCTTCACATCATGCCTGCCAAGCCTGAGTCTCTTCACGTCATGCCTGCCGAGTCTAACACTCTTCACATCATGCCAGCCAAGTCTGAGTCTCTTCACGTCATGCCTGCCAAGCCTGAGTCTCTTCACGTCATTCCTGCCAAGTCTGAGTCTCTTCACAACAGGACTGCCAAGTCTGAGTCATCAGGCCTGCCAAGTCTGAGTCTCTTCACGTCATGCCTGCCAAGCCTGAGTCGCTTCACATCATGCCTGCCAAGCCTGATTCTCTTCACGTCATGCCTGCCGAGTCTAACACTCTTCACAACAGGACTGCCAAGTCTGAGTCTCTTCACAATATGCCTGCCAAGCCTGAGTCTCGTTACATCATGCCTGCTAAGTCTGAGATTCTTCACATCATGCCTGCCAAGTCTGAGTCTCTTCACATCATGCCTGCCAAGTCTGAGTCTCTTCACATCATGCCTGCCAAGCCTGAGTCTCTTCACGTCATGCCTGCCGAGTCTAACACTCTTCACAACAGGACTGCCAAGTCTGAGTCTCTTCACATCATGCCTGCCAAGCCTGAGTCTCTTTACGTCATTCCTGCCAAGTCTAAGACTGTTCACATCATGCCTGCCAAGTCTGAGTCTCTTCACATCATGACTGCCAAGCCTGAGTCGCTTCACATCATGCCTGCCAAGCCTGAGTCTCTTCACAACAGGCCTGCCAAGCCTGAGTCTCTTCACATCATGCCTGCCGAGTCTAACACTCTTCACATCATGCCTGCCAAGTCTGAGTCTCTTCACAACAGGCCTGCCAAGTCTGAGCCTCTTCACATCAGGCCTGCCAAGTCTGAGTCTCTTCACGTCATGCCTGCCAAGCCTGAGTCGCTTCACATCATGCCTGCCGAGTCTAACACTCTTCACATCAGGCCTGCCAAGCCTGAGTCTCTTCACGTCATGCCTGCCAAGCCTGAGTCGCTTCACGTCATGCCTGCCGAGTCTAACACTCTTCACAACAGGACTGCCAAGTCTGAATCTCTTCACATCAGGCCTGCCACGCCTGTCTTCAGACTGGCGATGCAGCGCTGATCATTGTGGCTATGGCTATTTTGTGTGTGTATTTTGTGTGTGTGGGCAGCACACACATCGGCAACAACCAGCCAAGATTTCACACCTGAACCCTCTGCAACCCCTGACCAGCAACCAGAGGGGACTCCAGACTCTGACCAGAGTCCTGAGAGCACTCCAGGCCACAAGAAAATTTTGGCCCACAAACCAGCTATTGCCATGTCCTGCACGGGACTGTCCCACCATCCCTCCCCCAAGACCACCTCTGCTCCACCACCCTCCTAAACTTTTGTCTTGTTTTGTTGTTTTGTCTTGGCGTCAGGGGCCGACCTAAGACGGGGGGATCTGTCAAGTCTTGTTTTGGTTTAGTTTCATGTTCTTGTTTCATGTCTGTCATATTTCTTGTGACCACTGTTGGTAAGCGTCATGTCCGTGTTTCTGTTTTAATTGTCCATGCCACGCCATGTCTTTGTTTTATGTCTGATTTATTTATTCAAACTTGCCTTCAGAGTGGATAACATTACATTAATAAACCATGCTTTGGTACAATTCCAATTGTCTTTACATTTCATCAAAACATTTTTCAAATCATAATCAGTGAGCTGTTTACCAACCTAACATGTTTTGTCCCAGTTCTCAAGAATCTCTGATAAGCATTTTATGATGGTGAATTATATAAAGATTCTACTCACATGTTTCATTACTGTCCTCAGTGTAGTAGATGTAGTAACCTAATAAGAATCCACGCAAGTCTTCCTCAGATACGGGACTCCACGTGATCACTGAGGAATACTGGGTAATATTCAAAATGCTCACATTCCCAGGAGCACTAATCGGACCTGAAAGCCCAAAAGTGCTTCAGTTCAGTCAGATCGAAAGATGCATCTGTAGTCTATAGCAGACCAGTTAAAAATGTAGATCAGTATATTGATGTGAATCATTAGCATTTTACCTAAAAATTTAGCTTGCACACATTTCAGTATCATATATTTCTCTGCCAGAAAATTCAATTTGACACTTTTTTTAGACTATAAATAAGTTATTTTCAAATAAACAATATTATTGCATTTTAAATGTTAGCTCCTTATCTAGGATAACCAGCACAAAATCCTTTGTCAATCAGCTTAGTAGCGAGGTTTTTCTAGTGAAGCACATACATACTGGTCAATCAATCAACTACACTACCAGCACTAACCAGTATATATACTGTATCAGGCTGGAAATGAATGAACAATTCTGTATATTAGCAGTTTTATGAATATTTGGACTTACTTTCTTCACTGAAATAAGCTTGGGCTGTGCCATATGTCCTCTCACTGTTGTTCACATTCTTCAGGTCACAGGTGTCCAGATATGGTCTGGTGTGCAGAGAGAAATAATATCTCGTATAGGGCTGAAAAACTAAATTCAAAGAAAGACAACAACAAAAAATGAAGAGCACTGTTGCAATTCTTAATGCTGTTAAAGTTCTTAATCACCCTATAATCCAGGAAAAATAAATATGGAATTATCTACTATGCTGAAAGTATATTCTATGCTGATAGCAAAGCATTAAATAATATAATATACAGTGGCCAAAAGTGATGTCTGGCCTAGGAAAATGGACATTTTCATAAATCTGTTAAAGATTTTGTAATCATATTACGAAGTTGTGCTTGGAGTCACTTGTTTTATTTTATTTTTAACAAAACAATAATGTCTCTGTTCCCTCCCACAGGGTAAAAGGATTACATAATGCATGAAAGTGAGATTTTATGAACACATGCAAAAACAAGAGAGAAGCAAATTATTTATATTCCAAAAATAATAAAAAAGTATGAATTAATATTGAATCTCTTCTATAAGGAATATGTTTTTGAATCAAAATAATTTGTTATGCTATTTGTGGGGCTCATAATACTTGGTTTAGCATAATCAATATTTTATTATAATATATTATTGTTGTTGTTGTTTTAAATAAAAAAGACAAATCAAATAAATAATATTTGATGTTACATCCACCTGCTGGAGTGGCTTTAATCTCTTTCAGAGGGCACTCCTCCCAACTTTTCCACCATGGATTTCTTCATTTCTCAGTATCCATAGCCTATTCTCATGATTGTGATGATGTTCAGCTGTGTGTGATTACCCATGTTAAAATTTGCCTAAGCTATGTTTTCACTCTAACTTTGCAAAGTCTTGTTTTGAGTTACAATGCAATTCTGAGTGCTTGTATCCGGGTCATCACAAGTCAGCAGTGCGATAAGCCTGCTAGCAATGGTTTTGCGTTTGGTGAGCTAAAATATTAAAACTCAGTCGAATCAATATTTTGTGTAGTTATTTATGCCATCCAGTTTCGTGGACTCAATCTCTCTTGTTTCATAAAAACGCTGCTGCCATTTTGTGACTATTGTTCCCTTTCGTAGTCACTCCGAGTTACGTCAGAATGACGGAGAATGGGGGTTTCGCATAGAAAGCCAATCCTCTTCGAGTATTTAAAAACGAGCCAATGGCATGAAAATGCCTTGGGGTTGCGGAATTTGCATAGCGTATCTCCGCCCCACCTCGTGGGTATAAAAGGAGGAAGTGAACGCAACCGCAGTATGTTTTCGCTTCTGAGCCAAGAGATTTCTTCACTCCTCAAGCCATTTTCACTGAGTACAACTCTTCGAGACGAGCGTCCTCTTCAGTGTTGGTGTGACGGCGGTACCCAGCAAGATTCTGCATTGCCTGCGATCTGAGCAGTGGTCTGCCAGACTTTGCGCTTCTCCTTGGTCGCCTCAGCGCTGAAAGAGTGAATTTCCTCCTCTCTACTGAAAGAGCTGCACGTGGCACGTCTTTTTAAAGGTTCGCCCGTGTTCTTCTGGGTGCGGTCGATTCATGTCGTCTTCTGATGGTCACGATCGCTGCTTTGTGTGTCTGGGCATTCAGCATGCAGCAGCAGCGTTCGTGGATGAGTCATGTTCCTTCTGTGGGTCACGTCGTGGAGGAGGCCGCAGGAGAGCGTCACAGCCCCCTCAGGCCGTGCGCCCCGCTAAACGCCAGGCGAAGCGGCGTCTCTGAGACGGGCTGCTCAGTGATGGAGTCGAGTTTTTCTCAGGAGGTGGTAGCAGGCCCCCTCCTTCCCCCGGTGGAGGGCCGGGGGAGAATCTTTTGTTCTCAGCTCCCCGCTCCTCACCCACGGGGAGCTGGTTTAAAGAGTTGGTTTAAAGAAAGACTTGACACTATCACTGAGCACACAGACTGGAATGAGTGTGCTCGACGCCTCAGTGCGTCGCCCCACTCATTCCCCTCTGTCTCTGAGGGTACGGAAGGGAGCATGTGTCGTCCCTCGACTACGCCACTCCCTTCCCCCTCTATCGCCAGGCCCCCGGCAGAACAGACCCCATGGAACGCTGGTCCTTCCCTGGTCTCTTCTGTCGGGGAACGGGGCTCGACGGTGCACCCGCACGGGGTAACTCCCATGCGCATGCCGGTCTCCCCTCCTCGCTGCCCCTCCGGGGGGACGTCTGTGGTTCGTATGACCCCGCTGGATCAGTTCCTGGGAGCTTGGTTAGAGCTCCCCGGCCTATCCCGCTGGGTCATCAGAACGATCAGATGCGGCTATGCAATTCAGTTCGGACGGTCTCCTCCCCGTTTCAGGGTAGTTCGCTTCACTATGGTCGGTGGAAATGCCCCGGTCATGAGAGCGGAAATTGCAACCCTGCTGGCGAAGGGTGCAATCGAGACGGTCCCTCAAGCCGAGATGAGGTCAGGGTTTTACAGCCCATACTTCATTGTCCCCAAGAAGACCGGTGGGTTACGACCGATCCTGGATCTGCGCATTTTGAACCGTACTCTTCATCGATTGCCGTTCAAAATGCTCACAGCCAGGCGCATTTTTGAATGCATCCGACCCCAGGATTGGTTTGCAGCGATAGACCTGAAGGACGCGTACTTTCATGTCTCCATCTTGCCTCGACACAGACCGTTTCTTCGGTTTGCTTTCGAAGGCCAGGCATATCAGTACACGGTTCTCCCATTAGGGTTAGCTCTGTCACCTTGCGTCTTTACGAAGATCGTCGAGGCAGTCCTTGTTCCAATTCGCGAACACGGGGTTCGCATCCTGAACTATCTCGACAATTGGCTGATCCTGGCACACTCTCGAGAACAGGTTTGCGAACACAGAGACCTGGTGCTCCGGCACCTAGCCCGTCTGGGCCTTCGGGTCAACCGTGAGAAGTGCAAACTTTGCCCCGTGCAGAGGATCTCTTTTCTCGGTATGGAGATAGACTCGGTCGCCATGTCCGCGCAGCTCACGAGCGAGCGCGCGCACTCACTGCTGACTTGTCTTCGACAGTTCGAGGGCAAGAGTGCGGTTCCACTGAAACTTTTTCAGAGGCTCCTGGGGCATATGACATCCGCAGCCACGGCAACGCCGCTCGGACTGCTTCATATGAGACCGCTTCAGCTGTGGCTTCGCGATCGAGTCCCGAGGTGGGCATGGCATCGCGGCTCGCTCAGAGTTCCAGTGACTCCAGCCTGCTGCCAGACCTTCTTCCCGTGGTCGAACCTCAGCTTTTTACGGGCCGGGGTCCCTCTTCTGCGAGTTTCCAGGCATGTCGTTGTCTCCACAGATGCCTCTACCACTGGTTGGGGTGCCATGTGCAATGGTCATGCAGCCGCGGGTTCCTGGACAGGACCCCAGCGCCTCATGCACATCAATTGCCTCGAGCTGCTGGCAGTACGCCTGGCCCTGCACCGCTTTCGAGCACTGCTCAGGGGTCAACACGTACTTGTCCGTTCGGACAATACTACTACGGTAGCGTATATCAACCACCAGGGTCGCAGCTCGCACGCCACCTCCTATTATGGAGTCAGAAGCACCTGAGGTCCCTTTGTGCCGTTTACATTCCAGGAGACCGGAACCTGGCAGCCGACGAGCTGTCACGGGTCCGCCCTATCTCCGGCGAATGGCGACTCCATCCCCAGACGGTCCAGCTGATTTGGGACCAATTCGGGGAGGCACAGATAGACCTGTTCGCCTCTCGGGACTCATCGCACTGCGCCCAGTTTTATTCCCTGTCCGAGGGGACGCTCGGCACATACGCACTGGCGCACAGCTGGCCGCGGGGCCCACGCAAGTATGCGTTTCCCCCAGTGAGCCTTCTTGCACGGGTGTTGTGCAAGATCAAGGAGGACGAGGAGCAGGATTTTGTTGGTAGCCTGTGGGAAAGGTAAGTCTGTGAAAGGTAAGGTAGGAAGGTAAGTCTGTGGGAAAGCACGACCTGGTCATCAGGTTCCTGAGGGGAGCGAGGAGACTGAATCCTCCTCGCCCTCCCCTCGTGCCCTCTTGGGACCTCTGAGTAGTTTTAAGTGCTCTGCAGAGGCCTCCCTTTGAGCCTTTGCAATCGGTAGAGTTAAAGCAGGGGTGCCCAATCCTGCTCCTGGCGATCGACTGTCCTGCACAGTTCATCTCCAACCCTAATCAAACACACCTGAAGTAGCCAATTAAGGTCTTTAGGATCACATTCAGGTGTGTTTGATTAGGGTTGGAGATGAACTGTGCAGGACAGTCGATGAAGACAGCACTCCTGGTTGCATTGGCCTCCATCAAGAGGGTAGGGGACCTGCACACATTCTCCGTTGACGAAGCGTGCCTGCAATTCGGGCCGACTTACTCTCACGTGATCTTGAGACCCCGGCCTGGATATGTGCCCAAGGTTCCTACCACTCCCTTCCGGGACCAGGTGGTGAATCTGCAAGCGCTGCCCCTGGAGGAGGCAGACCCAGCCTTGGCACTGCTCTGTCCGGTACGTGCGCTCCGCACCTACGTTGACAGAACGCGGTGTTTCAGGACCTCAGACCAGCTCTTTGTCTGTTATGGGGGGAGCCAGAAGGGAAGGGCTCTCTCAAAGCAACGGCTGTCTCACTGGATAGTGGATGCCATTGCTTTGGCTTACCAACAGCAAGGTCGACCGTGCCCCCTTGGTGTGACGGCACACTCCACTCGGAGTGTGGCTTCCTCTTGGGCTTTAGCGCATGGCGCCTCGCTAACAGACATATGCAGAGCTGCAGGCTGGGCGACACCAAACACCTTCGCAAGATTCTATAATTTGCGAGTAGAGCCTGTGTCCTCTCGCGTACTCGCTTCCGCCAGTACTGTGTACAGCTCAGTACAGCTCAGGTGTCTTCGCTTGCTTGCCATTCCACTCCTCGGACTGGATAAGTGCGATATCCCTCAGTTGAGTCTTCCGTTGAAGCCCTGAGTCCTCCAGCACTTCTGATGCTGGCACCACTGCACTTGCTCTGGATGCCGGCTAGGTGCCTCCGTGTGCACGGTTCCCTCTGGTAACTGTCACATGTGTATTCTCCACTGTAAGCCTCTCTGAGCATGTGTCTTACCCTGGCAAGCCATCCGCCACTCCTGGAGTTAAGTTTCTAGCCACCCTTAGGTTGGTGCTCCAGTGTTTTCCATATGAAGTTCCCTAAAAGGACCATATCTGTATTCTCAAGTCCTCCCTACGGTAGGCATACTGTAGCATATTCCTCCCGGGATATGTTTCCCAGTGTACCTTGGTATTCCTGTGTTAAAGTAGGTAACTCCTGGTTATAAGCTAAGTTGTCAGGAGTCCAGACTTTCGCAGGGTACTGAAAGACAGCTGAGAAGATGGACATGTGAAGACAGCTGTGACAGCTGTGAAGACAGCTCCGTCATTCTGACGTAACTCGGAGTGACTACGAAAGGGAACATCTCAGTTACGGATGTAACCCTTGTTCCCTGAGTAGGGAATGGAGACGTTACGTCTCCTTGCCACTTCTGCTGTACCGCTGGGTAGACGCCTGAGTTCAGTCTCGGCTCCTCAGCGAAGACATACTGCGGTTGCGTTCACTTCCTCCTTTTATACCCACGAGGTGGGGCGGAGATACGCTATGCAAATTCCGCAACCCCAAGGCATTTTCATGCCATTGGCTCGTTTTTAAATACTCGAAGAGGATTGGCTTTCTATGCGAAACCCACATTCTCCGTCATTCCGACGCAACGTCTCCGTTCCCTACTCAGGGAACGAGGGTTACATCCGTAACCGAGACGTTTTGTACACTGTTGGATAAGAACCAATCAGGTAAGATTTTAAAACAGTTTAATCTGAAATCAGTGTATATTATCCTCATAATTATTTAGGTGGTGACTTGCCGCGCTGCAACTACAGTACTCTCTCCACGGAAGCTTACATTTAAAGACTTAAAAACATTTCAACTCATATCAATATTTCGTGTCTAATTATTTACTTATGTGGCAAGTAGCTGTATAATAAGCTGTTAGTTGCTTAAAGTCGGGGTCCTCCGACCTCTACTTCGCATCGGGGGCCTCATCATCTTGTCGGAGGTTATTTTGAGAGACCCACCGACTGGATGTACATTTTCTCTTACTTAAAAGTAATTAAAAACACTTTTTACCTTGAGAAATAAATTTGAAAACTTCTGAAATGTATTACTATATTAAAATATCTATTACTTTTTACAAGATACTTAACGTTATACCACTTGTATTTATAGGCCTACAATGTTTTTAGAGTTATTATATCAATAATTACAACATAAAAACTAAGATTACACTCCTTTTTCTTTTTATCATTTTGGACATCATTAGTGTCCTTTAATCCATTATATGAATATACAATTATACATTTATTTCATCCTACTTATTATATGAGAATTAAAGCGAACAGTACTTCTCTTAGATTTCTCGGTTATTTCTCTGTGCGTCTGCTTCACGTAGAATGATTGGAAAGCTGGAATCTGTCCTTTGGCCCACCACTCCACACAGTAACACACGCTAGAGACCGCGCTGCTCCAGGACAGACTGAAACTGTTGTTCCTGGTTATGTTAACACTTAACAGCCCAAGTGAATCTAAAAAATAAATAATACCTCATTGAATGTTTAAATATACAGTGTTTACTCGTAGGACATACAGTAAATCTAACCAGAGTGCTCTGCATGTAGCATGTAACAAAATATGAATGCAATGTACCTCTCCACTCATCCATTTGCTCAATGGCTATAGTGGAAACAGGAGACGATCCAACACTGTTCAAAGCCCTGACGCTGATATTATAAGCGGAGTAAGACAGGATTAGGGTGAGAGATGGATCTTTAGTGCTGAAACTGTTACACAGAGTGATGTTTTCCCCGGATACTTTTCCCACGGTCACATTGTAGTCAGCCACAGCCTCACTGTTTGCATACTGAAAGAAACGAAGTTCACGATTGACAAAAAATCCTTATGTATACAGCAGGGGTGCCCAATCCTGCTCCTGGCGATCGACTGTCCTGCACAGTTCATCTCCAACCCTAATCAAACACACCTGAAGTAGCCAATTAAGGTCTTTAGGATCACATTCAGGTGTGTTTGATTAGGGTTGGAGATGAACTGTGCAGGACAGTCGATGAAGACAGCACTCCTGGTTGCATTGGCCTCCATCAAGAGGGTAGGGGACCTGCACACATTCTCCGTTGACGAAGCGTGCCTGCAATTCGGGCCGACTTACTCTCACGTGATCTTGAGACCCCGGCCTGGATATGTGCCCAAGGTTCCTACCACTCCCTTCCGGGACCAGGTGGTGAATCTGCAAGCGCTGCCCCTGGAGGAGGCAGACCCAGCCTTGGCACTGCTCTGTCCGGTACGTGCGCTCCGCACCTACGTTGACAGAACGCGGTGTTTCAGGACCTCAGACCAGCTCTTTGTCTGTTATGGGGGGAGCCAGAAGGGAAGGGCTCTCTCAAAGCAACGGCTGTCTCACTGGATAGTGGATGCCATTGCTTTGGCTTACCAACAGCAAGGTCGACCGTGCCCCCTTGGTGTGACGGCACACTCCACTCGGAGTGTGGCTTCCTCTTGGGCTTTAGCGCATGGCGCCTCGCTAACAGACATATGCAGAGCTGCAGGCTGGGCGACACCAAACACCTTCGCAAGATTCTATAATTTGCGAGTAGAGCCTGTGTCCTCTCGCGTACTCGCTTCCGCCAGTACTGTGTACAGCTCAGTACAGCTCAGGTGTCTTCGCTTGCTTGCCATTCCACTCCTCGGACTGGATAAGTGCGATATCCCTCAGTTGAGTCTTCCGTTGAAGCCCTGAGTCCTCCAGCACTTCTGATGCTGGCACCACTGCACTTGCTCTGGATGCCGGCTAGGTGCCTCCGTGTGCACGGTTCCCTCTGGTAACTGTCACATGTGTATTCTCCACTGTAAGCCTCTCTGAGCATGTGTCTTACCCTGGCAAGCCATCCGCCACTCCTGGAGTTAAGTTTCTAGCCACCCTTAGGTTGGTGCTCCAGTGTTTTCCATATGAAGTTCCCTAAAAGGACCATATCTGTATTCTCAAGTCCTCCCTACGGTAGGCATACTGTAGCATATTCCTCCCGGGATATGTTTCCCAGTGTACCTTGGTATTCCTGTGTTAAAGTAGGTAACTCCTGGTTATAAGCTAAGTTGTCAGGAGTCCAGACTTTCGCAGGGTACTGAAAGACAGCTGAGAAGATGGACATGTGAAGACAGCTGTGACAGCTGTGAAGACAGCTCCGTCATTCTGACGTAACTCGGAGTGACTACGAAAGGGAACATCTCAGTTACGGATGTAACCCTTGTTCCCTGAGTAGGGAATGGAGACGTTACGTCTCCTTGCCACTTCTGCTGTACCGCTGGGTAGACGCCTGAGTTCAGTCTCGGCTCCTCAGCGAAGACATACTGCGGTTGCGTTCACTTCCTCCTTTTATACCCACGAGGTGGGGCGGAGATACGCTATGCAAATTCCGCAGCCCCAAGGCATTTTCATGCCATTGGCTCGTTTTTAAATACTCGAAGAGGATTGGCTTTCTATGCGAAACCCACATTCTCCGTCATTCCGACGCAACGTCTCCGTTCCCTACTCAGGGAACGAGGGTTACATCCGTAACCGAGACGTTTTGTACACTGTTGGATAAGAACCAATCAGGTAAGATTTTAAAACAGTTTAATCTGAAATCAGTGTATATTATCCTCATAATTATTTAGGTGGTGACTTGCCGCGCTGCAACTACAGTACTCTCTCCACGGAAGCTTACATTTAAAGACTTAAAAACATTTCAACTCATATCAATATTTCGTGTCTAATTATTTACTTATGTGGCAAGTAGCTGTATAATAAGCTGTTAGTTGCTTAAAGTCGGGGTCCTCCGACCTCTACTTCGCATCGGGGGCCTCATCATCTTGTCGGAGGTTATTTTGAGAGACCCACCGACTGGATGTACATTTTCTCTTACTTAAAAGTAATTAAAAACACTTTTTACCTTGAGAAATAAATTTGAAAACTTCTGAAATGTATTACTATATTAAAATATCTATTACTTTTTACAAGATACTTAACGTTATACCACTTGTATTTATAGGCCTACAATGTTTTTAGAGTTATTATATCAATAATTACAACATAAAAACTAAGATTACACTCCTTTTTCTTTTTATCATTTTGGACATCATTAGTGTCCTTTAATCCATTATATGAATATACAATTATACATTTATTTCATCCTACTTATTATATGAGAATTAAAGCGAACAGTACTTCTCTTAGATTTCTCGGTTATTTCTCTGTGCGTCTGCTTCACGTAGAATGATTGGAAAGCTGGAATCTGTCCTTTGGCCCACCACTCCACACAGTAACACACGCTAGAGACCGCGCTGCTCCAGGACAGACTGAAACTGTTGTTCCTGGTTATGTTAACACTTAACAGCCCAAGTGAATCTAAAAAATAAATAATACCTCATTGAATGTTTAAATATACAGTGTTTACTCGTAGGACATACAGTAAATCTAACCAGAGTGCTCTGCATGTAGCATGTAACAAAATATGAATGCAATGTACCTCTCCACTCATCCATTTGCTCAATGGCTATAGTGGAAACAGGAGACGATCCAACACTGTTCAAAGCCCTGACGCTGATATTATAAGCGGAGTAAGACAGGATTAGGGTGAGAGATGGATCTTTAGTGCTGAAACTGTTACACAGAGTGATGTTTTCCCCGGATACTTTTCCCACGGTCACATTGTAGTCAGCCACAGCCTCACTGTTTGCATACTGAAAGAAACGAAGTTCACGATTGACAAAAAATCCTTATGTATACAGCAGGGGTGCCCAATCCTGCTCCTGGCGATCGACTGTCCTGCACAGTTCATCTCCAACCCTAATCAAACACACCTGAAGTAGCCAATTAAGGTCTTTAGGATCACATTCAGGTGTGTTTGATTAGGGTTGGAGATGAACTGTGCAGGACAGTCGATCGCCAGGAGCAGGATTGGGCACCCCTGGTATACAGGGTTCCTTTTGGAACTTATATTCTTTTTTGTAACAAATCTTAAAGGATCTTGGCAATACTTTAGAATTTTGATCCACCCTTAATGAGTAACTACACAGGATCAAATGTATAGTGCTTTATCAATATTCTAACAACTAATATTACAAGAAACTCTGATTAGTTTTTTCTACAATTACTAGGACACATTTCTCAATACTTGGGTCACTTGGGTCTCAATACATGAGTTAAACTGTGGAACATTTATCATTGCTTTGGCACAATATGCATTCAAATACGGCATGTCACGGTCCCTGCGTTACCACCAGAGGTCCTCTTCCCCCACGGTGTCATTCACTCATACTACAATTCCTATCACCCTGTTCTGTAACTCAGTGATCATTGCACACAGCTGTTTACCATCACCTTGTTAGTATCTGTGTGTGTGTGTGTATATATACCCTGTTTGTTTCAGTGTTTGTTACAGAGTCGTTATTTGTCATCACACTTCTGAAGGTCTGCTTGTTTCTTGTTTTATTCTTCTTCTTGGATTGACTTGTATGGAATTTGACCCTTGCCTGGACTGGATAACGTATTACGGATTACCAATAAATACAGCAATTGGACCTACTGTTTCCCGAAATGTATATCGTGACAGAACAACTCCGTCATGCAAGGATCCAGCGGTATGGGTTTTCATGTCTCTTCCCCAGCCACTGAGCGAGAGGAGGCACCAGAGGGGGACCTCTCGGTCTGAAGAGCCAGAGCCGCACATGACTTTATTTGAGTGTTTTGCCTTGTGGGCTTGTCAGACTGAGGAGAGCTCCCCTAAACCATCCAGAACAGCTTGCTGTCATTCTGGAGGCCGTCCCCGTGCAGCCCGCTGTTGTCCCGGTGGTCGTCCCAGTGCAACCCGCAGTCATCCCTGAGGCCGTCCCTGTACAGCCCGCTGTCATTCTGGTGGTCGTCCCTGTGCAGCCTGCTGTCATCTCAGAGACCATCCCAGAACTGGCAATCATCAGCCCTGCCACGGCCAAGAGGGTTGTTTCTTTTCTATGCATTGGCTTTTCTACATGCACGGAGGAAGTGTGTGAGTTCTACCAATCCAGATACTGTTCACGTCACGTCTGCTGATCCAGAGACTGTTCACGTTACGTCTGCCGGTTCAGACACTGATCACGTTGCGTCTGCCGATTCAGAGACCATTCACATCATGTCTAACATGGCCAGGAGGGACGTCTTTTTTTTATTAATTGACTGCTCTACATGCATGGAGAAGGAATATGGTTTCTGCCAATGCAGAGACTGTTCACATTACGTCTGCCAGTTCAGACAATGTTCACGTCGCGTCTCTGCCGATTCAGACTCACGTCTGCTGATCCAAAGACTGTTCACGGCATGTCGGCCGATCCAGTATCTTTGGACAAGATGGCCATCTTGTCTGTTCCTGAGCCGGTGTCTGTTCCTGAGTCCTGGACGCCCAAGGGGTCGTCTCTGCCCTGGCCGCACGAGGGATAGTCTCCGCCCTTGCCGCCAGATGGACTGGCATCTCCACCCAATGAGATGTCTCCGCCCTGGCCGTCTGCACAGCCACCTTCACGCTGTTTACCCGAGGATAAGTCTCCACCCTGGCCCCCCCGATGGACTGTCGTCTCTGCTCTGGTCGCCTGATGGGTCGTCTGTTTTCATTCACTCAATACTACAATTCCCATCACCCTGTTCTGTCACTCATTGAACATTGCACACAGCTGTTTCCCCAACAACTTGTTAGTATCTGTGTGTGTGTATATATACCCTGTTTTTGTTTGTCTGGTTGTTTCTTGTTTTTGGATTGACTTGTATGGAACTTGACCCTTGCCTGGACTGGATAACGTATTACGGATAACCAGCCCGTTCTCATCCTTTAACGTCATATAGAATGCTATATGCAAAAACGGCGCTATACTACGCACATGGCACCCTTTATCGTTAATATAACACGCGAACCCAAGACGTTATAAATCCTTTAGCGTGAATATGACACGCACACCCTACCCCACACCTAAACTTAGCCCTCACAGCGCATGTTATATTAACGATAACGGGTGCCATGTGCGTAGTATAGCGCCGTTTTTGCATATAGCGTTCTATATGACGTTAAAGGATGAGAATGCGTTGGGATAACCCAATAAATACTGCAATTGGATGTACTGTTTCCCGTGTGTGTATCGTGACACAGAATCATTCAAATTATGTGAATTTATTTCTTACTCAGACACAAACACCACCAAAACTCTCCACACAGTTCTCTTAGGTATCACTGTTATTATCTCACATACATTTACTTTTTTCTTCTTCTTCTTCCTCCATACAAATCTTGCCACCTAACTCACCCCACAACATTTGTCATGATCACTGCTCTGACTTTTATAAACGATTGGCGTATAATGTTCATACAGCGGGAGAAAAATCCCATAGATTTAACACTGGACAGAAGTTAGTCACATCATACTGTATCTCCACATCACAATGTCATTGACACTTGTGGATGGGCTCAATTTACTCTGCCCAGCAAGCAGACAATAAGTAGTGGCATAACAATGACATAGCCATGCCCTAGCAACCAGTTACAGCACCCTAGCAACCACATCATAGATTTCCAGAGAATTACCTGTGAATTACAGTAAAACAGTAGAGACATCTGGGTATCTTTTGACTCATACTGGCGAGAAGTCTTTAAATATCACCATTGAAACCTTCTAGCCATGCCCTAGCAAACATTTAGAGCACCATGTCAACTGTATCAGCATGAATAGGCCATATCTCAGCACCAGAACATCAAAGAGACAGGGTTGGCCCAGACATGCAGTCATAACTTGTAACTGTCTCGCCACACTCTTGCATATGGCAGCATGGTTTTAAACAAGTACCACCGTGGTTATTGTGTAGCCACACCCTAGCAACTGTATAGCAACATGAACAAGCCACATCAAAGCATTAAAACATTGCACAGACTTGAGAGTTTCTAGCAGTCATGAAAAAAAAAATCCTAGCAACTGCCTAGTGCCGAGTTTTGCAAGGAGTTTTCCTTAGCTTCCTTGTCTAATGTTAGCATTATGTAATAGTCTGCAGTTTGGTTATCTTCTTGCATTCTTCCTTGGATTACTACAGAAAAATCGTAACAGTCATCGTCTTGTGTAGTTATTCATTTATGATGAACATTTATTCTAAAGTGTTACCACCAGTATCCTAAAAAGATAAAATAAGACAAATCCAAGAATCAAATAAGATTATACTAAATAAAACAAAAGTTATTATCCTGATGGATCTTATTTGATTCTTAGAGGATTAGTATTTGATCCAATTAGGATACAAATGTTCCAAATAAAATAGTTAAGATATCTTAAATATCTTGTCACACATTGGGTAATTTTAAATGAAATACAGTTTTTCTCAGTCGCTTTGGTACATTTCTCAAATCATCCTCGAAATTTGTAAAACAGTAAGTGCATTTCTCAAAACATTTTGTGCAAAAAGTAAATACCTGTGAACATGTCAGTCCCATCATAATGACAAGTCCTTGTGTCATTGTGTATGGATAAGACAGTCAAATTGCTTAGTCATGTTATCAATTTAACAGTGCATTCTGGAGTTATGTTGTGATGTAAACTATGGCTAAAGTTTTCATGACAATAATTGTAAATTTTAGGTTACACCTTAGTGTATGTGGGAGTTTGATTGCAAGAGACTGGACAAGATTCACATTTACGATTTTACTGTTTGAACTGCAATTTGTTGACCCACCATTGCAATACAGAAAGAAAAAGACAGCACTGCAAAGCACGAAAAAAAAAGTAGAAAAGGCAAATTTAGAAAAAAAGTCTAATGGAATTGAATATGCTTGACATATTATGACAACTGGTTTCCCATTCAGGGAACTTCGAGCTGCGTGTAAACGCCGTGGGAACGCCTCTGCGTGACGAGTCATGAAGCACGTATGAAATCTGTCCAATGGCGAGACGGAACGTCATAGGCGGGGTGACGTATCGACCAGGAAACTATAAAGCATCCCCGAAACACAAGCGCAACAGCTTCTGAGTCTTCACAAGCGCTCTATGTATGAATATTGTCTGTCTGTCTAATATTGTATATATATATATTGAAAGAAAATATGGCGAGCAAACAACAGCAGAATTTCAGAAAGTGTGTTCATCCCTGCCCTCGCTTCATCACGGGTGGGGATACACACGATCTGTGTGTTGTTTGTTTGGGAGTGCAGCATGCTCAGTCGGCTCTCGAGGGGGCCGGCTGTGAGCACTGCGAGTGTCTGCCCATGAAGACACTTCGCTCCCGCCGGGCACTCTTCGAGGAGAGTGGTTCGGTGCGCGCTCCCCGCGGCTCGGGTCCCGCTGCTGCCGAGGCACAGCGAAGGCTTGCGTCGTGGGGATCGCAGATGGATCTATCAGCGGGGATTGAGACGGGCCCCGTCCTTTCTCTACCCTTACCTGGTAGATCCAGTGCCTCAGTTCTCGCTGCGGGGGTCCGCGTTGTGGTTTCTCCTGCCCGGGCTGAGGCGCCATCACTTCAATTATCCAGTTCTGAGGAGCTGGATGTTGAAAGTGTGGATGCAGAGTCTATGGACTCAGTGGAGATCGGGGACTCGCCATCCCAGTCTCCCGCGAATATAGAGCTGATGGAGGTTTTGACTCGGGCTGTGGAAAAATTAAGCATTGAATGGCCAGTTGAAAAACAAGAGTCGAGAGTAAAAAGTAAAATGGATGAGAGATTTTTAAAATCACACTCACTACCTCCACGCCGGTGTTTGCCCTTCTTTCCCGATCTACACACCGAGGTGTGTAGATCGTGGAACAAACCAGTGTCAGCTAGAATTTTGACACAACAGACCTCTATGTATGCTAATATTGCTGGGTCTAGGGGACACGGTTATGGGGCGATGCCGAGGATGGAGGAAGTTTTGGCGAGCCATCTTTCTCCTGAGACGGCATCGTCTTTTAAAACACCGGCGTTGCCCACCAAGCCACTCAGAAATACTTCGGTTTTGGTGGGCAAAGCTTATTCAGCGGCGGGACAGGCAGCATCTTGCTTGCATACGATGGCCATCCTCCAGGCGTATCAAGCAGATCTGCTGAAGGATATGAGCGAGGGGGAGGTTGTCAGCACTGACGTGATTAATGAGCTGCGTCAGGCGGCAGATATTTCTCTCCGTGCCACCAAGGAGACGGCCAGATCAGTCGGCCGCTCTATGGCAGCCCTGGTGGCCACGGAGAGGCATCTATGGCTAAATCTGGCTAATATGAAGGAGAAAGATAAAGCTTTTCTCCTGGATGCGCCGCTGTCGACCGAAGGTCTTTTTGGTGGCTCTGTGAACGCAGTGATTGAGAGATTCCAAGAGGGAAAAAAGCAGGCAGCGGCGCTCCAGAAATGTCTACCCCTCCGTACTCATCCTTCGGGGGCTGCTGGGCGAGAGCAGCCCCGCCCGTCGGGTTCCTCGCATAGGGCGCAGCAGAAGAAGAGCGTCGCGTCTCGGGCTCCTCCCCACCAAAACTGGGCTGAGACGCGGCGTTCTCAGACGAGGTCTTCCCGGGATAGAACCGATCTGAGGACGGTTATTGTCGCCAGGAAGGCTTCGTCGAAGAAGTCCTGACGCCACTGGTGTCAGGCTACTGAGGGTGGTCCCCACCGTGAGACAGAGGTGTTCGCCGCTGAATCCGGCGCCCGCTCTCTCTCGGTGCCCTCAGGGGTTCGTTCTGCCAACCCTGCCTGTAATGGGGGGTGCAGACGGTCCCAGCGAGCGATTTCCCGAGGGACGCTCGTTTGCTCCGAGGAGCGATACAGAACGGTCGTTAAACCCTGCCTGTGCGCGGTCACAGGGCGCTGTTTCTGTTTTAAAAACTACTCCAGAGGCCAGTCTCGAGAGGCTGGTACCCTTAGTAGAATTTCTGGTAGAATGGGGAAGTCTTCCAAATATATCTCGTTGGGTCCTGCAGACTATCGAACGCGGGTACGCGATCCAGTTCAGGTCGCGTCCACCTCGTTTTCGGGGGGTTTTGCCCACAGTGGTGACCCCCGAGCAGGCTCTGGTTATGGAACAAGAAGTGAAAGCTCTGCTACTGAAGGGGGCGATAGAACGAGTTCTTCCTCCCGACAGAGAGCTGGGGTATTACAGCCGGTACTTCATTGTTCCAAAGAAGGATGGGGGGCTGCGTCCGATTTTAGACCTGCGCCTCTTAAATCGGTCAGTAGGGAAGCTCAAGTTCAAAATGCTGACTCTCAAGCAGATCGTGTCACAGATCAGGTCCGAGGACTGGTTTGTCACGATAGACCTAAAAGACGCGTTTTTCCATATCTCCATCCTTCCGCAACATCGGAAGTTCCTGAGGTTCGCTTTTGGGGGCGAAGCGTACCAATATCGGGTCCTTCCATTCGGCCTAGCGTTATCTCCTCGAACCTTCACGAAATGCATGGACGCGGCCTTGGCCCCGCTGCGTCTCCAGGGCATTCGCATTTTAAATTACATCGACGATTGGTTGATTCTGGCTCAATCGGAGCATCAGGCGATTCGGCATCAAGATGCCGTCCTCGCCCACATCAGAAGGTTGGGGTTGAGACTCAACGCCAAGAAGAGTGTGCTTTCGCCAGTTCAGCGGACCACTTTTCTAGGCGTGGTATGGGATTCGACGACGATGCAGGCACGTCTGTCGCCGGCTCGTATAGCCTCGATTATCTCGACTGTCAAGCAAGTGAAGCTAGGCCAGTCACTCACTGTAAAGGAATTCCAGAGAATTCTGGGTCTGATGGCAGCAGCATCCAACGTGTTACCGTGCGGCCTGCTGTACATGAGACCACTGCAGTGGTGGCTCAGGACCAAGGGGTTCTCCCCGAGGGGAAACCCGCTCCGCAAGATCAAGGTCACGCGACGTGGTCTCCGTGCCCTGGCTATGTGGAAAGAACCTTGGTTCCTGTCCCTGGGACCTGCGCTGGGAGCCCCGTGTCGCCGGGTAACGGTGACGACGGATGCCTCTCTCACGGGCTGGGGAGCGATCATGAGTGGTCGCTCGGCCCGCGGGCTGTGGCAAGACCATCATCTCCGTTGGCATATAAATTGTCTAGAGATGATGGCGGTGTTTCAGGCTCTGAAGCACTTTCTCCCAGACCTCAGAGATCATCATGTTCTTGTCCGGTCAGACAACATGTCTGTGGTTTCTTACATAAACCACCAGGGGGGTCTGCGCTCACGTCCATTGTACAAGCTGGCGCGCCAGATCCTGTTGTGGTCCCAGGGGAAACTTCGGTCGCTGAGAGCGATTTATATCCCAGGATACTTAAATCGGGGAGCGGACATCCTGTCGAGGCAGGGGCCGAGGCCCGGGGAGTGGAGACTTCACCCCGAGGTGGTGGAGCTCCTTTGGAGACACTTCGGTCGGGCCCAAGTGGACCTCTTTGCGTCCAGGGAGAACTCACACTGCCCGCTGTGGTTTTCCCTGAGTCCTCCAGCTCCATTGGGGCTGGATGCGTTGGTACAGGAGTGGCCGAGGACACCCCTGTACGCATTTCCCCCGATTGCTCTGCTCCCAGGGGTTCTGGAAAGGATTCGCCAGGAGGGGGTCAGTGTACTTCTGGTGGCCCCCCGTTGGCCAACCAGGGTATGGTTTCCGGACCTGATTTCCCTTCTCGAGGGTCCTCCTCTGGAGATTCCGGTCAGGAGGGACCTTCTGTCTCAAGCAGACGGGGGGATACTCCACCCCCGTCCGGAACTGTGGAGGTTGTGGGCTTGGCCTCTGAGGGGGCCCAGCTCATAGATTCAGGTCTCTCGACTGAGGTCGTGGAGACCATCCTCCAGTCCAGAGCCCCGTCCACGAGGAAGTTGTATGCCTTGAGGTGGAAACTGTTCACCTCTTGGTGTGGAGAGCGACAGTTGGATCCAGTTAACTGCCCGTTGCCGGCAGTGCTGGAATTCCTTCAGGAACGCTTCTCCACAGGGTTATCGTACTCCACACTAAAGGTGTACGTGGCGGCCCTATCCGCTTACCATGTCCCTTTGAGTGGGGCTTCTCTTGGGAGACATCCCCTGGTAACCCGTTTCCTTCGTGGTATCCTGAGGCTGAGGCCGGTAGTGCGTACGAGGGTACTGACCTGGGATCTAGCGGTTGTGTTGGAGGGGCTCTGTTTAGCCCCTTTCGAGCCCATTGATGAGGTGCCTGAGAAGTTTCTTACTCTCAAAACCATCTTTCTCCTAGCCATCTCTTCCCTAAAGAGGATTGGAGATATTCAGGCGCTGTCGGTTTCCCCCTCGTGCTTGGAATTTGCTCCCGGTATGGCGAAGGCTTTCATCCTCCCTAGACCGGGGTATGTTCCGAAGGTTCCAACTACGGTTGTCAAACCTATAGTGCTACAGGCCTTCTGTCCTCCTCCGTTTCGGACACCAGACCAGGAGAAACTAAATCTGCTCTGCCCGGTGAGGGCCTTAGACGCGTACGTCCACAGAACTGCCCTGTGGAGGAAATCAGAACAATTATTTGTCTGCGTTGGGCCTCCTAAGAGAGGTTCTGCGGCGTCTAAGCAGAGAATGAGTAAGTGGGTGGTCGAGGCCATTTCACTTGCTTATGAGTCCTCCGGTCAGCCTTCTCCCTTGGCTGTCCGGGCTCATTCAACCCGGAGTATGGCTGCCTCTAAGGCATTATTATCAGGAGTTCCCTTGTGTGACATCTGTGAGGCAACAGGATGGTCTTCACCACACACATTTGTGAAGTTTTACCATCTGGACTTCAGCTCCACCCCAGGGGCGCAGATGCTTTCGTCAGAATGTGCACTCTGATATTCATACAACGGACACCTGCTCGCATGGCGGCGTTGGTATTAGCGTTCCCACGGCGTTTACACGCAGCTCGAAGTTCCCTGAATGGGAACGTCTCTGGTTACGTATGTAACCTTAGTTCCCTGAAGGGAACGAGACGCTGCGTGTCTATGCCATACTCCCAGCATGCCCGTGAGTGCTTGCTTCAGTCCTATCAGAAGCTGTTGCGCTTGTGTTTCGGGGATGCTTTATAGTTTCCTGGTCGATACGTCACCCCGCCTATGACGTTCCGTCTCGCCATTGGACAGATTTCATACGTGCTTCATGACTCGTCACGCAGAGGCGTTCCCACGGCGTTTACACGCAGCGTCTCGTTCCCTTCAGGGAACTAAGGTTACATACGTAACCAGAGACGTTCAACCATTTTGCATGTAAATACTTAAGCTATGAACTAATGCCTAAATGTTGTGGGGGGTGAGACTATTCAACAGAGACCCATTATAATACATTTTGATCAACATGACATAAGCAATTGATAATGTAGGAAACCGCAGAGAATTGTACTGCATGGATGTACCAAAGCATATGCAACTTGTTCAAAGAAATGAGAAACTTCTTTTTTGATATGCACAAATGACATGATGATGTGAAGATTGAACAGGTTTTGAGAAGAATTTCAATTCGGATCTGAAAAATGTACTAAAGCGACTGAGAAAAACTGTAATAGATGAAAAAAAAAAAAACTGTCTGCCCAACACCTAAAATATACATTGACACCACAATTGGCTTTGGGAAATGACATAACTTAGTACCTCCCACATCACGACCACTTTTCTCTGTCCTGCTGATATAAAAGGGTTTTGTATATGGTCTTGAAACTCCAATTTGATTGATGGTGCATCTGTGAGTTCTGAAGAAGTAAAATTTAGAAAATGCAGTGGTTAATTAAATATTAAATATGTGAGTGAGTAGCTCTAAGATTTGTGTTTGAATTGAAGAAGTGTTTGTAACTTGTAACTGTTTGTTTCATGACAGAAATTACACACTTCTCTATTACACAAAATTATACAGTTTCAAGAAAATACAGAAATCAGTAAATACACACATTTGTATTTAGCCACTTTGAAAAACCCTGTCTTCAACTCACCCCGCGGAACCACGATGACCTCACTGAGTGGACACTGCGCGCACTCTTCATTGCGATCACAGTATATTTGCAACTCGTACGGCAGAGAAGACGTCACATTCCACATTTCACACTCTCTGCTGTTTTTAGACTGTTGCTGCAGAGTACAAGAGAGCAAAATGAGAAGAAACAAACTAGCATATCTCTGCTGTCAGTTGGAAAAGGTCCTGTAGTAGGCCTGAAAGTGTAAAAATGTGAGGGTTTAAAGGATGGATGGATGGATGTAGATAGATAGATAGATAGATAGATAGATAGATAGATAGATAGATAGATAGATAGATAGATAGATAGATAGATAGATAGATAGATAGATAGATGACAGACATAGTGGAGGTATTTCACAAAAATATAATAGATATAAAATCAGATCAGACTTAATCTTTCATCCAGGTGTCGTAATCATTATAACTGAATAGGGATTTTACAAATAAGATCCTCATATTGTGTAATTTGTGCTTACGCATACTTTTGGGGTTTAAACCCACACAAAGGTTTGTAAACGAGGCCCCACATCTTTAACCACAAAGCCACACCACACCCTAGTGTACAGTACTTTCTCAGATCAACACTGATCCACACTCTATTACTGTAAACTACAGTGCTGTGAACAAACACACCCAAGATATTCAATTGCGACAGCAAAAAATGTCCCTATTTTGTACTCATCTGACAGAAGTACAGGTAAATTATTTAATGTGTGCTAGTGAAAATACATATGTAATTGATTTATTTTCATAGATATATATTCACAATGAGAATTTATTTTAAGTCATTTACACATATGGACGTCACAATGTGTGTTATTTGGTTAAGAAATAATATGCCCTCATAAAGTTAATAAACGTGTCTGAAAATCAATTCCACAGGGTGAATATTGTCCCAGGGCTTTACACTATTAAGTGTAAAGGTAACAATACGAGTTATGCACATTATGATGTGTCATATTATTATAAGTTATGCAGGATAAAAAAAAGACACAATGATCATTGCAAATAGACACTGATATACTCTGAAACTGCAGGGTGCAATTATCAACCTGATCTCACAGGAACTATTTTGCGAGGTGTCAATATACGTACAATGTATCATACAAAAACAATTTTTAGAAAAAAAGTAATCATGAAGGCCCATCGCTAATCCCACCCCTAATCATACCCGTCATTGTGGCGTAGGCAGAATTAGCCACCAATTCACTAAAATTAGATTGTGTTAGTTGTTACTGACCTCTTTCCACATTGCAGTGTTGAACTCTCTATACTTTACGGAGAACGTTTTAATATAATTTCTTTCATCTCCCCAGTCCACTTCAACAGACAAATGACCAGAGCTTCTTTTAAAAATTAGATTCTGTTTAGAGGGAGGACCGCACCGTGCTGAAATGAAAGAAAACATCGAACATTCTAACGCAGAATCACATTTTAACCTGTGGAAATTACTGTCTGGTAACATAATTGTCAAGCAACTTTTACTAATATTAAAATTTCTAGTAATTTCCATGTAACTGCATGCAATAAATCTGTATATTAGATTAAGGTCAGAGGTTGGAAACACTGAAAATCATAATACATTGAAACTGATTTATATTAATATTGTTGATTAACATACTTATCTGCGTTGAATATCCACTGAAATTTTTGTAGGTGCACCGGCGGCTTTGATCTTCACTGGTTGCAATTATGTGAGCTGTTATATTCCATTTTATTACTTTAAAGGTATTGAAAGTCAATTCAGTTGCATTCGTCTTATGTATGAGTTCACAACTGCATTGCCTCCTATGTAAGAAACAAACAGTGTGGATTGTTTAATATAATTAGCAATCAAAACAATCAAACAACAGCAAGAAAGTGTTAAGCTCAGTCTGACTTATTAAATTTACTTACTGTTTTGCGTAGAGTTTGAATGAGGTTGATAAGTCTCCTCCGTTTTTCCATTCACAGACGAATTTACGATTATTTTTAGAAATTGTATTTTTTATGAAGCATGTAAAATCATAGACTCCTAATAAATGAGAAATATACACTGATAATATAAACAAAAATGAATGTCACTTTCTACAGACACTGAAACAAAAACTTGAAACTCTTCCAATTGAAATGAAGCACTCAACTTTTGGAAAATATTGTTCATTCAACTTTCATTTATTCATTTTCAAGATTTTTCAGACACACACACACACACACACACACACAAATAATAATAATAATAATAATAATAAAATGAAACAAAACAAACACTGTAACTTAGCAGAAGATAATTATATTGACAACAAATGTCATTGTTTTTGTAGTTACTGTAGTTACTGTTTCCCACTCATCTCATGAAAGTGCAATAAAAGCAAGGGATATTACCATTTCGTCCTAAAATTCGTCCTAAACTTTATTGATTAAAGGAAAATATTTGTTTTAACTTTTTTTTCTAATGCCTTTCATAAAAGGGCTGAATGTTGAGCTGATTGTTTGAGCTAGTATAGATAGTTACACTTTTGTGTAAATTTAGAAATGATGTCAAAATTATGACATCATTTTAATTGTTTGTTTGTTGTTGTTGTTGTTGTTGTTGCATACTTTAAGCCTAATAAATGCCTGGTAGACACTTTATTCCCTCTATTAAATACACGATAGGCACTTTAATTCAACTTTTTGAATATTGTCTTCATTATTTTATTTTATTTTGTTTTTTTATTTTATTTAAAATAAACACCTCTCCAAGCTGATGCAATGGAAAAGGGAAAAAGAATGGGAATTGGAAAAAGGCAAACTCAAATTTGGTCACTCGCATCAAAAACTACATCCACTGTCCTTATACTTTCCACACAACTGTCCAATTTGTCAGATGGGTTTCTTTTGTAATTTTGTCGGGCTCAATCAGACAATGGTGTGTGGAGTTAGCGTAAATAGCAAGAGGGGCTATTTGCCCTTTTTTAGAGTGTAAATAGACACTCTAAAGAAGAAATCAGTTATCCTTAAATGGTATAGGGGAAATTATTATACACTTCATCCAAAGAATAGCTGAATATGTTTTATTGAAACAAGATGTTTGCTTTGTCATGTCTCCATCAATTTAGTGGGGATATAGAACCAAAACGTGCCATTGTAGGCTACTTATTAATAGCCTAATAAAGTTAAATTTATGTTACACTAAGAAAAAGTAAGCAAGTTTACTCCAATCTAATATATAAAAACATAGCTTACAAAATGTTTGCTGATCATTTCATACCTTCTGTGTTGTTACATTGATCTTTTAAGTTGTTGCAGTTGCAGGGACCTTTAAAGTTTAAATGAAAAGCTGTGTCAAGTGATTGCTATTTATCCTCTGAACAATGTTAACAGCATGATTTGAGAATGTTTCAAAGAGCATATTGTGCTTAAATGGAAACACAAAATCTGTACAAAGCTATAAAGTTTACATTTAGTTGATTACTGGCCTGTTAACACGGCATAGGCTATACGTAAACAAAGTGTCATTGTTCTACTTTTAAAATATATATATGTATTTTTTTTTACAGGGTTCAATGTGGTCTCAGACTCAGACCCAATAAACACACAGTGCACTAATGTCCAACGTACTGACCTGTTGACGTTTCGGTATAGAGAGATAGGAAACCTGAAATATTAATAAACTTACTGAAATAACATAACTTCAGCAATGATATCAATGAAATGCTATAATGTGACACATTTCCGAGTGAATACTTGCTTAAAAACACAGCTAAAACACATACCTAGAGTGAAGTAAAATGCAGCCGAGCACTTGCGCATTGTCGGATCCTCTTGACAGTCTGCTCATGGTACACACACGCAGCTTTACCAGTTAACGGAAGAGAGGGGTATTCCCATCACTCATTAAACTACAGCGCAACAGGTCCTCTTGAAATCTCATAGGCTGTCTCTGAAGTCAGAACAAAGTGAACTGCCTACCTAGACAGCATATCTGGGCAACGTTTAGACGCGCGCAAAATTTTGTCCATGAGCCTATGGGCGCCAAACAATGCTGGCACAATGCAGGAACTCCACTTATTCACCAGCAGTGCGTGTAGCCGTAGCCTAAATAAGCACGCAAAAACTATTTTTGGCGTGTAAATGGCACGACAAATAAAATTCGTGCTGTAGATACGCACTTTCATGATGTAGTGTTGGATTAAGGCGCTTATGTGCTCGTGGAATAAAAAGTGTTTTTATTTATATCTCAGAACCAGAATAATTTTCATCACATTTTGTTACATTTAAGAAATTAACATGACACACCATCATGTCAGAAGGCAAAATAAAATATTTTGAACAATGTATGGGCCTATAGCCTACAACCTGCGAGATAGAGTTCCATAGAAGAAAGAAATGTTTTATTAATCCTCGTCCTTATCAAATTGCAATGAAACTGACTTGTGCTGAAAATAAGTTTCACTTCTGCAAACTATGAATAGAACTCGCTGGTTGAACTTTGTAGTGGCTCTTGACATTTAGAACTAATTTTGTCACTAAACTGTGGGTTTGTCAACCCTAAAATATGTTTTAGAGCATTTTTATGATAAAATTATGGTACAACTTGAAAGAATATATTGTACAAATACTCTTTATTTTTTCAGTATGACCAGGTAACCAAATAAATCCTAAAAAAACAAAAAAAAAAAAAAACAGCGAATCAAAAAACAGCTAATCAATCGTAGGCCTAATAAATAGCTAATAAAAACCTACGTTTAAAAAAATAAAAATCTAGAACTGCCAAAGGTTTTCTGTGAGTGTTAGGTTAAGGGTTAGCTGATAGCATTCAGTTTGTTCAGAATAAAAATCATTATATAAATGTCCTCATAAAATGAAAACACAACATGTTTGATATGTAGTGAAAAAGAGATAACCAACTATTCAGATGATCCATGAGCAGATGGTGAAATACTCAGACTGACCCATCTGGCACCAACAACCATGCCGCGCTCAAAATTGCTTAAATCATCTTTCTTTCCCATTCTGACATTCAGTTTGGAGTTCAGGAGATTGTCTTGACCATGGACCACAGCCCTAAATGCATTGAAGCAACTGTCTTGCTCACATCCATTTCTCAGAATGAGGAGTGCTTTAAGTAAACAAAATGAGAGGATGTTCTTGGTGTCTACAAATTTTAACTCCTTGATCATCGTGTGGTTGGGGTAGTTCGTGGTCATTCCTCATTCCACCACAAATAGGAAAAAGAGGCTACAATTTGCAAGAGCTCACCAAAATTGGACAGTTGAAGACTGGAAAAATGTTACCTGGTCTGATGAGTCTTGATTTCCTGTTCAGACATTCAGATGGTAGAGTCAGAATTTGGTGTAAACAGAATAAGAACATGGATCCATCATGCCTTGTTACCACTGTGCAGGCTAGTGGTGGTGGTGTAATGATGTAGGGGATGTTTTATTGGCACACTTTAGACTCCTTAGTGCCAATTGGGCATCGTTTAAATGCCACGGCCTACCTGACCATTGTTTCTGACCATGTCCATCCCTTTATGGTCACCATGTACCCAACCTCTGATGGCTTCTTCTAGCAAGATAATGCACCATGTCACAAAGCTTGAATCATTTCAAATTGGTTTCTTGAACATGACATTGAGTTCACTGTACTAAAATGGCCCCCACAGTCACCAGATCTCAACCCAATAGAGCATCTCTGGAATGTGGTGGAACGGGAACTTCATGCCCTGGATGTGCATCCCTCAAATCTCCATCAACTGCAAGATGCTATCCTATCAATATGGGCCAACATTTCTAAAGAATGCTTTCAGCACCTTCTTGAATCAATGCCACATAGAATTAAGGCAGTTATGAAGGTGAAAGGGGGTCAAACACAGCATTAGTCTTGTGTTCCTAATAATCCTTTAGGTGAGTGTATGTAAGAGTTAATTGACATAGACATATTATTTTAAGGTTTTCAGCCTATATCATATGAACTTTTTGACTTTGAAATATGATATTGTGATCTCATGGAAAAATTCAGTTGTTGTTTAATTCACAGCTGTGAACATGCAGCATAACAAGTTCAAAATGTGGGGTGGGAACTTGCTATTTTAAGGGAACAAGCTTTTTTCTTAGATAACTCTAAGGCCCTAGAAACTTTTGAGAAATGAGTGAACGGTTTCACATGACAGATCTCAGAAACCCAAAGATGAACTGTGAAGTAAGTTCACTTCTTTCTTTCTGTAGAGCTTTCAAGGAAACATAGTTTCAGTTTATAGGTTACTAAAACATCAGAATGTTGACCATATGATATGCCAGTTGTCACTTTTCTATATCTGAAATGGAGTCTGTTACAAATAAACTGCATAAGGGAAGTTAATTCAATAAATATCATAAGCTTGAATTTTTTTCACACAAATAACTACAGTCTGTGAAACAGCACAACATCAGGATGAACAAATAGTGTTATCTAAATAATGTATTTGGCAGTTATACAGTTACTAGAAACTGTACTAGAGAACATGTGGTATGGGAGCTGTTAAATATCTCTCTTTCTCCTAAGTGCACACACACACATACACACATACAGGAAGAGACATGTTCACACTTCAGAGACTTCAACGTTGGGAGGCCCAATGTAGGAAACAGTGTATTGTAGTGTAACACTTAAACCTTGTGACCCTTAACAGAATCTACACATTTCAGTTATCAACAGAAAAGACATCCAGGCAAAACCAAGTCTGTGACATCTACACAGTTTCACAATTTTATCTAAGATTCACTCTGTAGTCAGAGTCATCTAACAGCCTGCAGTGTTCACAGCTTTCAAGAGAGTTTATACCTAGCTTGATGCTAACAGCACATGGAACATGTGACAACGCGAACTACGCCAACCACACGATGATCGAGGAGTTTGATAAAATTTGTAGACACCAAGAACATCCTCTCATTTTGTTTACTTAAAGCACACCTCATTCTGAGAAATGGATGTGAGCAAGACTGAAATATAACATTTCCTTTACATATTCCAAATTTGTTCCTACATCTTGGTTCTGTACATCATCAAAATGTAAGTTAGCCATTTGTTTTAGTCTGCTTGACAAAAACATATAGTGCAGTCAACGGGACATTTACAGGAAATTGGTCATATATTGAGAGTGATGTACACTAAAGCGCAGTTTTGAAATCCCCCACCTGTATGTTTATCTATAGTTGTACTACTCATCGCTTTGATCACCTGACGAATGGAAGATGATGGTCTTGATCCCTGCCTTAGATAAGAGTGTGTGGGCTGTTTTTCTCTTTCTGATTTGTGTTTGGCTGATTTCATAAGATCTTTTTTTTTTTTTTTTTTTGGTAAAGGTTGAGGTTGAATCAACATATTTTCAGAACGGCACAATGATGGTGAGATGATAATGAAAGTTCGAAAAATTCAGAAAGTATTCAGACACTTTTTTTTCTCACATTTTGTTGATACAGCTTAATGCTAAAATGCATTAAATTACCCCATCATCACAAAATTAGTTTTTACTATGTCATTATGGGATATTAGTAAAATCACAAATTAGTTTTTACTATGTCATTATGGGGTATGAAGTGTATAGACAGAATTTTTTAAAAACATTTTAGAATAAGTCTTCAACAACAAAATGTAAAAATAAAAGGGCCTGAATGCGTACTAAATCCACTGTAAGACTCAGAATGCTTCAGATATATTAAATAAATTATTCTTTAATAAACCTTAAACTACCAACCATAGCCCTAATGCAAACAAACAAACAAACAAACAAAACCCTTTTAATTGCACTGTGTAGGCCTACATGCAATGTTTTCCCCGGGTTTTTTTTTTTTTTTTAAATATCTTTATAAAAAATGGACTTTAGATCATATTTGGAATAGCACAAGCCATTCCAGTCATGCAATCAAACTATAGTAGATGAGCGCCATCTGTTGTGAAGTAAGTGTAGGCAACTATTGTACTTTTGTCAAACAATTTCCCTGCAGTTGCATTTTTTTTAATGTGCATTTTATATATATATATATATATATATATATATATATATATACACTGTATATATATATATATATATATATATGTGTGTGTGTGTGTGTGTGTGTGTGTGTGTATATTCAGTATATATATGTGTGTGTGTGTGTGTGTGTGTGTGTGCTAATATGTCTTAATTATTATAACTTTAATTGTGAATTCACATCAAGTATTTAAAGGTGCCATCTGTCAAAAAAAATCAAATCATACTCCATATTCCATACTAGATGGGGGCAGTGTACCTCCAGAAAGTGAGTTGTGCCTCTCACGTCTTCAAACAACAGGAGCGAGCGCTGTCTTGCTCTCTCTCCCTCGCGCATATTTATCAAATCATCTGACACGATAGTAAAAGTTGGAAGACCGCAGTTTCACGAGGAGCATTTGGAGATTTTTAGAGATTAGAGACTCAATGAACAACATCTCAACACTAAATGATAAAGACCGTCTCATACACTACTGTCTCAAATACAAATAAAAGCACAGACTATTATTTGAAGTTTTACAGTATTTGTTTTGTTCATATTACATTTTTTTTGTTAGTTTGAATTAATTTGACAGACAGCATTCGCTGATGTTGACCAAGCTAGTGCCATTCAGAGCTGCCAACTCTCACGAATTCACCGTGAGACACGGAATTGAAACTTTTCACACGCTCTCAAGCCACACATCAAGTTTGTCACGCACAGAATAGGACATAGAGACCGACAGACTAGACATAGCTGGTTAGTTATGATATAGGCTATATAAAAAAAATCTCAGCTATCAGATTCTGTCAATTTTATTATGCAATTCAAACAATAAATACAGTTTTGGCGCTTGTAAATGTTATACCACAGATCCCTAGCGCACGTGAACCGATCATCTCTACTAGCTAATGGTAAAAGAACACGAACACTGTTGAAAGAGACAGTATGCTTACCAAAATGTATTCCTCATGCATAATGTCGACCAATCATTTTTTGAACTCTTCCCTGAACTGCAATGTAGTATAGACCCCT